TTACTTATAGCTTTAGGTTTCATTTTGCACACTGAGAAGATACAATTCATGACAAAACCAGCTTATCTTAGCCCCTAGGATTCCAATTTTAAAAATGTATTTTGGGATGCCAGTAAAATGACTCTCCACCTTTCCTTCCTGCTGTGTCTGACCTTAAGAGCACCATCAACCCCATAGATTCATGCAAAGGACATGGAAAAGTAAACACTTAGAGCTGGTTCTGTTGACACTATTTCAGTGCAAAAATTACTGAGCTTTAAAATGTTGTAAAGTGCTCAGCTATTGTACATCCAGGGCCATTTTTATGAATAGCTTTCTAAAATGACAGAGCTGGAAATAAAAATGTCATCACTTAAATTGAGGGGACAGCACTTTCAGGAAAAAAAGATAATTGCTCCACAGCATTTGTTGCTGAGTCTCCTACAGATTTGGGGATTTGAGAAGCCACTGACATGAAGGAAGACTGGAGAGTATCCATTATCTATTACCCAGAGCAATGCAGGTAGAAGGAACAAGGAGGTCATCCAGCACATTGGCAGCAAAGATGGCAGTGTGTTTTTTCTTCTTTGTCTCTGGACTCTAGGATAGCACTTAATGAGAAAAAAACCCAAAAGTACAGACAGAACTGGAAATTATTTTTGAATTTTCCCACTCAGGTAGTCAACACCACATTAAAGAGAGCCAGAGCTAAAAGTTTTTGTGGAAACAGAGGTGCATATGGACACAAAATTGCTTTACAGGGAAATGAGTATCAGCAATGATGTTAGGTTGACACTTTATGGCTTCACCATTGATGTGAGTTTAACTAGCAGTAGCCTAATGATGTTTTAAAAATGATATTTTAAAAGTGATATTTTAAAAATGGGTTAGATTTTCTTTCATTGCAAGAGTCTGGAGCTAGATGATCCTCACTGAGCTAGATTCCCAATGATGCCTGCATATCCTAAAGTTTTTCCCACTGCCCAACTCCATGATTTTTTTTTCTGAATGTCAGCTTTTCATCTACATGCTAACTGCATCAGGGCACAAAATAGATATTACTATTCCAGGCCTCACATATGCATTCAGGGGGACAAGAAAAGGAAAGGGGAGTAACAGCCAAGTCCAGTCATTTTATTTCTATTTATTATCAAGCAAAAACATTTGCAAGAAGCTACTGTAGATTTTTCCTTTGATGAAAATGAGACTCCATTGCCAGTTCTAGCTGCAAAGAAGGCTATCTGGTAGGCAACACTAGGATTGACATATTTGGCTAACTCTACTCATTATTTATCACTTAGGGTTAGACACAACTGTCACTGTAATAAGAGTGAGATTTGGTTAACAAAGAATAAGGAGAGGCTAGATGTCAAGTAGCTAACCAGTAGTAACGCAAGCCATACATATGTAATTAGAATAGTGGACCTTTTCAAGTGGAAAAGTCACTTACTATTTAGCTATAAACTACTCATCTTTGTATTTCTGTTCTCTGTAGCACTGTATGCCTGTGCAGAAGGCACTTGAAAAGTTGAACCATTTATTGAGGAAACTACAATGACTTACTCATTCAGTACTGGCTTAAAGGAGGCCTTTGGTATGAACTGTTAACTACATACAAAGATTTAATAGTTGGGGACACTGGAAGACTGATGACTCCAGATATTTAAACAACTACTGTGAAAAAGAGACCTAGACCTTTAAACTAATTACAATGAAGAAAGTACAGAAGAAAATATGCCTCTTTAATAAATAAAATGCCTAGAATAGGACTAGTTAAACTGTGATAAAACATCATTGCAAAGGACTTTTTTCCTACTCTGTAAGACATTAAACCATTAAATATACCATCACATCCACGTTCCGGAACTACAATCCAAATATGTGTATGTAGGTTTATAAATACGTGTCATAAAATGTTGCATCATAAAACAATAAAATTATATTGTTGAAAGGCACATTAAATACCACCTTGGCTTAATTGCTTATTTTTCCCAGAGGATGAAACTGAGGCCCAGAGAGGTTGCTTTATTTTTCTACAGTTGTATAGATAGTTAGTTGCAGAGATGTATATATAAATGAGATGATATTGAAAGTTAGTTTTAAAGAGCAAAGAAATATAATTTTGGGAAAAGTGAGAGTGAAGTCTCCAAGTATGATGATGAGAAAATAATGGTAAGCACATAGACATTAAGGCCACATGTTTTTAACTTATCAATCACAAGTTACAACAATGTAGGAATTGCAGGTTGCTCATAACCTGGTCCTTGGGTGGAGGATAAAGTTTGAAAGATGGCAACAGAAAGGTTCAGAACACCAAAGCCTATGGTGCTGAATGAGAGTCACTACTTGACCTTGGATGTCCTTCTTCACTAGAGTTTATATGCAATGTGCTTTATGTCAGGAACTATGCTAAGTGTCTAATGTGGAATTCTCAAGTATCTCTGTAAGGTAAATCTTAATATTGGTCTCTTTTACAAAGGAAAACATAGTTCCATTAAAAATAAGATCTAGGTGGTCTGATGACTTAAGCATAGTTATGGCATCAAAATTAGCACTCAATCCCAGACCCCCTGATTCATAGTTGAACGCATTGTTTTTTCTGTCCTGTGATTTCTCTGTTACCCTCCCACAAAATGTGCATTGATCCCTGGGGTGGGAACACTGGCTAGTGTTCAGTGGACCTCTGGCCTAACCTAGAAGTTACACTCTTTTGCACATCCAGTGTCTCCTGTTCACTCCTCCATGACTCAGACCAAAGGCATTTCTCTATTTTGTCTTCTCTTTTGACATTCTTTGTTTCTCCTCTTCCTCTTTCTGCATATTATTATGTCTTTGCTTTTCAAAGCTGCTTTTGCATTTGTTTTCTTTTTCATATCAGAAGTTCTTAACCTGTCTGTAGTTTGTTATCACATAGGGAGCTTTTAAAATGTCCAGATGCCAGAGCCCCGTGCCTATAGAGTGCAATATGATTGATTTGGGTCATAGTTGGAGCACAGCCACAGGTTAGGAATTACGTCTTCCTTAAATCCTGAGGAGATAGGTAGGGCAAGTGCTGTCATCACTTTTTTACAGATAAGAAAGCTCAGATTCTGAGATATTTGGTGTCTTAGAAGAAAAAGAATGAAATCATGGAATGACATTTGATGCAGACTGAGTTAGCAGACACTTCTAATGAGTCAGAATCCCAGCAGTCAGTCTGCAAGAATGGAGTAAAACCGGTTTTCTTTTTTCTGATTTCTGATATTCCATAGGCTTGTGTTTCTTAACATAAGAAGCGAAAAGAAGCATCAATGAAATGATATCAGGATAGAAAATGTTTGTAACTGAAATTCTCTGCTGAATTTATTTAATGACTGGAGAATAATTTTCAACTTTAGCAACTTGCATCCCATTCCTTATTGCCTAGCATAATAATGGTCAGGCAGCATCAGGAAAACCAGATGGAAGGGACTTGCTCATTCTGTACCAGCACACATGGCTCATTTGGAGACTAATTAGGAAGATAACCAACCTGGCCACATTGGCTAAAAGAGCTTACCATTGGGATCTGCAAATACGGACAGTTTCTTATGTGTATAGAATATTGGTAGAGAATTTAACATTGTTGCTGCTTCTCTTTTCTGGGTAGTCTAATCATTTAAATTATAGTGTGTAACATTCTTGCCTTGTGCTCATTCTTGCTTCCCTGATGTCTTCGAAATCTTCCTATGCTTCCAAGATCTAGTTTCTTATCTTTTCTACGACAGACTTTGCTGCAGTCAGCCACTACATTCCTTTACTCCTTCAAGTGTGGGTCCATGGCTAGCATCATCAGTTTCAGTGTCATCTGGGGGCTTGTTAAAGATATAGAATCCTGGCCCCACTGTAGACCTAGTAACTAGAATCTTCATTTTTATCAAAAGTCTCGAGTGATTTGTGTCCATGTTTTGGTTAAAGAAATGTTGCTCTAATGCACTGTTTTCCCCCCAACATCTTGTAACTTAAATGCCTTTTTTTCTTACTGCTTTTGTTTTTTCACTTCCTATTTATCCTTCAAGGTTCAGCTCATTTATCCTTTATGAAACCACCGATATTTACTGGCATCTTCTTACTTATATAAATCACTCCATTTAGGATTTAAATGAATGCTGAACATTTCATTATTTAAATGGTCGACATGTTTACTTTGCCTAATTATCATGAATGCATGTTCTTCCAAAGTGTATCACACATGCTTTACACATAATACTCAAGAATTATTTGATTTATCAAGATCACTTTCCTGCTTGAAAAGTTTCCCTTAGTCTTATTTCATCCTTTAAAGGTGCCTCAGTACTTTCTCTGTTCCTGATGTTATGGTTTCAGTGCAGCTCCTCCAAGTTTCTGTTTTCTTCATCCATTAAATGAATCTCCACCCATTTCATTTATTTCTTCAGAGGCCTGACTTTTCTATAACCTAGTGAGCTCCAAGTGAATTGTAACCTCAAAGTGGTAACAAAAGTTAAAGCTAACCACTTGTGAATATTGACTTGGTGCTAAAGAAAAATCCCTCACATTGTATATTTGAAGTAATTTAGAATGGTAATTTACAAAAGAAAACTTATTGTTGAATATGGCATGCTAGTCTACACTTGTGCCTAAAGAAAACTCAGAATCGTTTCCCGTTCTTTCATGTGAACTATGCCATGCAGTGGTATCCCTTTTACTGGTCCTACATCCTGAGGCAAGAAACATATCTTTGAGGCTGCCATCTTGCTGAATTCCAGGAAAGAGAGGACACACATCCTAACTATCTATGAACCTTTAAGTCTATCTTTAGGACTATAGTATCTCTTCTAAAGCTTAGCATGAGAGTATACAGGTAACAAAGCAAGAACTCTTGCTGACTTTCAACTTTCAATTTTTTTGACAGTTAAGTTTTCACATTTCATCAATTTGTATCTCCATTCTGATTCTACATGTCATTCAGATCTATTGATATATGATTATTCATTTGAAGTTCCCACAATATGCAGATTATAACATCTCAAAAGCATTTTACCTTCAAGCTGTTGTCCATGAGTATCAGAAATTATTGTGATGTTCATTGGTGGTCAGATGACTTGCTTCTTTATCTGAACAGAAGCGTATACTAACCACCACAATGGAGGATTAAAGTATTGAGAGCAAAAGAAATTACTGGAAAAAAAATGAAAGTTCTTAATCAGTTACATCTGTGTTTGGTGTCATATTGAAATGAGTCTGAATTCTACGCAGATGAATACTCAGACATTTCGTATCATTGCATGATAATGCTGGTGGTAGTTGAACGAGATCTGGGGTAGGAAGTCTAAAATGTTCTGAAAACTGTTTCAAATGAAAAAAAATTTTTTCAGTGATAATTGGCTGTCATGTTGGCCTAAGTACTTTATTTTGACATGAATAATTCATATTAATTGAATGACCCTTTCAAGACACATTTTCCAAGTCTTGTAAAGATATTTATTTCTGTTTTATGGTAGTGGTTAATATTTGTAATAAACTGTATTGGCTGGAGAGATGCCTAGAAAAGTAAAGTATGATTCTGTGTTTGGCTATATAAGTCACACCAGAGTGACTTTGAGGACTATGTCTGGTCCCAAGCTCCTTTTGCTCTGACTCTTTCCCTGTTCCTTGCCTTCTGGCCACCATGAAGTAAACACCTTTCCTCTGCAATTCTCTACTCATGGAAGACAGTCCACTATGCATGGATCAAAATCTCTGAAACTGAGACAAAATAACCCTTTAATTCTTTAAAGTATTTATGTTTATATTTTGTTCTGGCTACAGAAAACTGATCACATATACCTACTTTTGGGAAAAAATGGAGTGGATTTCAATAAAAAGACATAAATACAATGAAACCATTAACCATTCAACTAATGAATAAGGCTTAAGAAGAAAAATGTTGATAGCAAAATCTCTAGAGTAATGAAAATCACTGCATTGATTATCCCTGATTCTTGTCCTTTATGCCTAATATGAAATATTTGCTTGTTCCTTTATAATAAAAAGATTTTCAACTTGTTATGTGGGCTAAAGAGAGCAGCCTGTCACTTGGGCCTCATTAGAGAACTGTTAGAAAACTATAAGAAATATATTTAATAGCAGTTTTGCAAAATCATTTTGTTTCTTATCTCAACCTTTCCTTCATATAGAAACCAGGCATGAGTCCTGTGTGCTGATGAATACCTGTAATCACAGTTACTTGAGGGGTTAAAGTAAGATCATTGCAAGTTCATGGCCAGCCTGGACAATTTAGAGAGACTTCGTTTTAAAAATTGGTTTTTTTTTTTTTTAAAGCAAAGAAACCAAATTCATAGTTGAAAAGTTGAAAAAGCAATGGAAAGTTGGATTTATGTAATCCAAATATACAACATTATTGGGACCTAACTTAATACTGAGGAATTTTAAAAACTAGCAGATGATTTTTTTTAACTGTTGGACCTCAAAAACAAGGCCCCAAGATGTTGTTCAAAAAAACAGGACAAGATGTCTTTAAAGGAAGCACTTTATTTTAGCTGGTACCCAGCGACACAGCCTGCATTGGAATCTACAGAACTGTGTAACCAGGTTAGATTACAGATGGTTTTTTAAAGGAAAAGCCGCACAGAAAAGGAGGGAGCTTATACAAAAAGGGAGTTAATCTCTGCAAAATGTTTTACAACCAGGGCCAGTTGGTCCTGGGACCGAGCGTTTTATAAAGAGTGGTCAGCAAATGTTTTACAACCTAAGGGTCAGCCAGTTTCAGGACCAAATTGATGTTCTGGAAGGGGGTAATTCACAAGAAACAAGAGTTGAAACGCAGGTCAGGGTAACAACACTTTACAGAATAGAATAACGGCACATTAGCCAGGTTACAACATTAACCAGTACTTCTTAAACTTTACTATATATGCACATCACCTAGTGATTTGTAAACTTAATTTCTGACTCAGGGGGCCTGGACCAGGCCCTGAGCATGTGCATTTCTACCAGGCTCCTAGGTAATACTCAGGTTGCCACTCCAGAGTCCACGTTTTTAGGAGCAAATGATTCTCAGATCTCAGATGTCTTAAATGGACTTTGGACAGAAGTATGAAGACATGCAATTCCAGACTGAGATGTGTGCCAGTTAGGTAACTTAGGTGCAGCCATCATTGTTATTTTGATTCAAAGGATCTAGCGTAATAGGTAAATGTGTTTCTGTGAAGAGTAAAAGAGTGAAAAAGAAAAGGGTTGACTTTGTCAGTGCTAGTTCTTTCAATTTTTGAGAAACAAATCAACAGCAACAAAAGGCGGATACTCTGTCAAATAGCTCAAGTAAAGGATAGAGGGAAACAGATGGGTCTGTGTATTGTATGGAAATAGCCCCAAATACTAAAGGAAGCAATCATAAACTCTTGGGAACTAAGAAAAGAGGTATAAGAACTAAGCTACTTTTCTTTACATTTCTTTCGGTATCAGTTTCTTAGTGTACATGCCCCAGTCTTTTTCATGCATGCTGTTAGGTAGTTGATTCTGCCATTCTCCCTCACAGCATCTGCTTACTCCCACCAAACTTCGGTGTGCACATGAGCCCAGCTCTACTCCCTGAAATGCTTTTAACATCAACTGTAATTCCCAACAGCTTATTATTGGGGGGAGTATGCATTTCAGATTGCTAAGAAAAGGAATTTGATGTTTGTAGTAGGCTTTGGGATACCTGCATACTCAGGACTTGGCTGCCATTATCCATGAATTCAATGAGCACCGAGGGAGAAGGGCAGCAAGATCTACCATTTCAGAGGCACTATGGGCAGAACACTTGCCCCAGAAAAGATGCATAATAAGGTGAATATTTTGTGGCTTGGCCCATTTTACTCATTTATTTGGTGAAGATCATCTCTCCTCTGCCCGGATATGCTTCAGTCATAGCATGACTTTTAGCCAGGGTCAAGAATCATACCATGTACTTTATTGCTGTCTTATGCCTTCATACTCAGAGGCCAGCCCAAGAGGAATATTTAACAGGATCAGTGATGGGAATCCGTGAAATTAGTGAAACTGTTTAAACAAACCACCTCCTACTTGTTTTTCTTTTAAGATAACTTTACTTTAATTCAGTGCATGGGAAAAACAGTTTAAAAAGCCCAATCCTTACAAAATGTCAACACAGGTATGGAACTTCAGTGCTACAAATACAGAAAAGGGAATTTAGGCTTGTTTTAGCAAAAACCTTATAGGAAGGGAGCCCCTGTCTGCCCTCTGCAGTCACCTTTGGCCTCTACTTCAAATGCTGTTCTGTGACTCCCAGGGCCTAAGAGTGTTCTGAAAGCACAGAAGCCATCTTCTGGAGGGAATTTGTGTACTGACTCTCAAGTTTCTGTGTGCTCAGAACAGGAAATGGAGGGACGTTTGAGAGACCAGACAAACAAGAATAAGATCCAACTGCTAACACCAGTCCTTTTTCTTTCAGCACTGCTTGTCCATGGGGGAGGAAGGCGACTGGCACATTATTTCTCAGTGTTCCGCACACACAGACTTTAATGAGCACTATTTTCAGTTCTTATTTGCTGATCAATAAAGTCATGGGTAGGTCTTGTCTGTTCTCAGAGATAAAAAAACTTGCATGCATAACTGGTCTCTATCCAGCCGAGCAAGCACTCCGGTTTCTCTTTGTTTTTCACAGTGTTTCTGAGAGATAAGAGGTAACCACCCAGATATGATGCATGACCAGGGGAGGTTTTGAAATAAAATTTTATAAAGTTGTTCCCTATTCTGAGCTGTGGATTAGGGGTGGAAACAATGGGGAGAGCACCATATATAGCACATAGATTTGTTTTCTAGATTCGAAACAAGCAGGCAAACATATGAACACACACACACACAAAAATACAAGTAAATATTCCACTGAGAAAAGAATAAATGTATTTTCAGTTAGGGCAATGAAAATTAACTAGGGAAAGTTTAGTTATTCAAATTAGTGTGTCTCTGAAAATTCAGGGACCATTTCCTACTGCAAAAACTGCTTCTGTCATAGTGATTAAAATCATTATATAGAGGACAGGCCCTGCATGCAGTCAAACAGCAAGAGAGTCTCCCAGACAAACAAACATAGAAAGGAATCAAGATAGAATCCTACTAAGTGAATGCCTTTTAAGGCTCTTAGCAAGTTTCTAAGTGAGAGCCAGGATGGAGGAATTGATTTGAGATTAATGTTGCAAGATTTTCAGACTGAATATATGATAAGGATTTATATAAAGTGCAGAGGGTAAATGTTTTCAATAGCAAATAAAAATTTTGGTAGGGACTTGAATGGGCACAAAGTAGAAAACCATTTAGGAGAAATTTGCTATTAGGCTAAAGAAAGACCTTGGGCTGACTTGCCTTGACAGTGAAGATGCATAGAAAGATAAGGTTTTCAGCAGCTGTAGGCAGAAAAGCAGCTTGTAACCAAGAGACAAAGATAAGTAACTAATAAAGGGGAAATTTAAGTGGAAAGCCATGGCAAGCTTGTTTCACAACAAATAGAACCTGAGGTACAAGTCCAACTTTAGTGAAGCACAGTGGTCCTTCATTGTACATGTTACATTATTGTCTGTTTTCATCGCTAGGTTCATGAACTTTAATTTCTCTTTAATTGCTCTTAAATTGCTCTTTAATTGCAGACTTTTGTCTGTATATCATCTCTATCACTGGACAGTAGATTCCATATATGGAAAAATCTATCCTACAGTTTCTAGAATTTCTACCCAATACCTATTGTGGGATTTCACTGGGATAATTATTTAATAAATGCTAAGTGGCAGAATTAATTCATAATTTTCTTCATTAAATAATTATTGTTTTCCAAAATAAGTGCTCTATTTGTGGAAATCAAAGCCTAAATTATATTTTACTCTTCTAATATTGGTAAATCAGAGGAGCAACTTAATACTAATGCTATTAGGACCTTATTTCAGTAAAATAAGTTGGTGAATTTAATGCCAGATATCAGGTAGGGAAATGAATTGAAAAATGAGTTTTAGAAGAGAGACCAAAATCTAATGGACTAATACTTTTTCTTACATTTATTCCATCAAGGAATGTGAACTTTAGGTAATGTTTTTCTGGTTAATCTGACCAGTATTTTTTCTGTGTAAGTCTATATTTTTGGAAGATTGGTTTCATAATAGCAGGGGTCTTATTTATCCTATTCACTGACCTATCACCAGCATCTAGAAAAGGCTTGCCTGGATAGAGACTTAAGAAATAATCATAGGAGGAAGGTAAAGACTGAGGGAGAGAGAAACAAGAAAAGAAACAAGGCATAAAAGGCTCTTCTTTATATGCCTGTTACCCAAAATTTAATTTTCTTATTCATTAGCTACCACACCCCACCCCCAGGTAACTTATGCAGGAACCAGAGATACAAAAGTGATGAGGCGGCACGGTTTTGTTCTCAAATAACTGATAGTCTAGGAAAAGAGACCTACCACAGAAGGTAGTAAATGTTACAATAGAGTAAGAGGACTGGTGATATGAGGAGTATGCCAAAGGAACCATCTAGTCTGCCCCCTGGAAGGGCAGGGCACAGAACACAGTACAAACCTGAGAAGAAACTTAATGAACTCTGTAATGCTTTAAAGGCTTGAAAACTTTGTAATCTTTATAGTCCTAAAATCAATTGTAGATAGACTGTCTGCAAGACCCTACATTTTAACTATTCTCTATTCAGAGTCATTTTGATGTCTGAAGTTGTTTTTCTTGGTACTGTTTGATTTTGGCTTCAGTTAGAGAATGTAAATGGCTGCAGTGAGTCTGTTATTTAGCAGTTTGTCGTAGAATCATGGCTTTATAAACATAGTCTAAATGTCACAAATTGAAGATTTATTGTCTGGCCCAGACCTACATAGTACCATGTACCAGGAATAACAGCATGGTCTTTTTGTACCACTGTTTGCTCTTATCTGAACACATTCTTCTCCCGGTGATGAGGATTAATAGTATAACAGATATAACATGGTTTTTGCATTTTATAACAGCCTACAATAGTGAAGGTGTGTGTTTTCCATTAAAGCAATGAATTTTTTGAGGAAAATAGATAAATATGATATCAAAGGGAAAATGAGTGTAAAACTAAATCGTAGTTAGTTAGCTATTTATATATAAGGAAAGATAGGGATATGCTGATAAACACTTTAAGAAAAAAATTCTAATGCCTGGCAGAAGGATTTTGCTTTGATTTCTGCTTCTTGATTTTCCTTAATCAGGTGCTGACTCCAGTACAGATCAAGTCAATTTGCCAGGCGATCCTGGAATCTGGGAAACAGTATGCCACGAAGAAAAGAAAACCATTCCCCCTGATGTACTCTTATTATGGAACTGAATACTTGGGTGAGTAGAGTTGGCACAGGTCTGTAGAATGGAGGGAGTTTCCACAGTTAACACCAAGAGTGGAAACTTGGTGGGGGGAGCATGGGCAGTCACTACTGATTAACAAAAAATATTTTAAAATGTCATTCAAAAACAAATATTGATATCAGTGGCAAATTATAATGCAATATTCATTTTTATTGTCTGCATTACAGAGATTTGACAGAGATGCAGCTATAGTAAGAATTAGTTTTACTAATGACTAAAGTCCTTATTCTAGATAAGAAGCCTATTGGTCTCATTTTCATTTTCTTTGTCCTTCCTTCTTTCCTTCCTCTCTTTCTTCCTTTCTACCTTCCTTCCTTCCTTCCATCCTTCTTCCTTCTCTTCCTTACTTGTTTCTTCATTCCTTCCATCTTTTCTTTCTTTTTTGAGATGAAATATCTCTGTGTTACCCAGGCTAGCCTTGAATTCTTAGGCTCAAGTGGCCTTCTTGCCTCAACTTTCACAGTAGTGGAAACTACAGGCATGTGCCACCACATCTAGTTTCATTTTTCTGAAAGATTGTGAATATTTTTTACATTGATTACAAGTAATCCCTCTGCCTAGGGAACCAAGATTCAATCACTAACATTTTAAAGATTTTAACGTAGTGGATTAATAATAGATTACTAAATCACAGAGACTAATTTTGAACTTGTAAGGAGGAAAGTACTTACTCACCTTTTGAGTCCTGAACAAGATTTACAAGCTCTTTTTTTTTTTTTTTGGTCTTTTTCGTTTTTATCGGTACCAGGGATCGAACTCAGGCACTTGAGCTTAATCCCCAGCCCCTGCAAGGTCTTTTTAGACCACATGCCTCTTTTCCAGATTCAAACTTTATCTCCCCACTCCAAGTTCTGTTCAGCATAGTCTCCCAATCACAAAATGTCCTCATATATTCATTCCTTTGTGCATATTTCTTTTGCCTAGAATGCTTCACTTCTCTTATATCCTTCATTTACCTGTAATACACAGAATGCAACACTTTGCACCAATATCAAAGATCTTTCTTTTCTTAAAAGGATTGCTGAATTCTTTCTGGAGAAATATTTACATGTTTCAGATTCTTTCTGAGCAAATTTGGTTAACATCATGGCACTCTGCCCATGATTTTATTGGAGTCTTCATCACATAAGATAGTATTAGTGGCTTACCTGTTAACCCATCTTATTGCCCTTTGTGAACCTTCAGGATGGGAACTTACTATATTCTCATTTATCTTTGTTGTATAAAGACATTTGCTATAAAGCCTGCATACACGAAGTGAAGATAGTCAAATTTATGAATCAAATTTATGAATCAGTGGCTGCTGGTCAATATTAATGCGAATTTTCTCAGAGAATTGCTAAGTTTCTCTGTAAGTTTCCCAGGAATCAGGCGCTGAGATGAGGATTTAGGTGTGAAAAGTTGATTCAACCAGTAATCCCAGAAAGCCTTTGTAGCGTAGTATGGAAATGAGACAAGATAGAAAACAAAAGTTGGACTGGGGATTTAGCTCAGTGGCATAAGCACCTGCCCGCAAGTGCTAGGTCATGAGTTCAATACCTGGTACAAAAAAACAGAGAAAGAAAGAAAGAAAGAAAGAAAGAAAGAAAGAAAGAAAGAAAGAACAAAGGCTACAGTGAGCAACTATTGACAAATGAGGCTCAGTTACTTGGGGACTCTCAGAGACAGTATAGAATATGCCTCAGTTGTCTCACTGAACTTGTTAAGGAAATTCAGGTATTCATCCACCAATTCCCAGCTCCTTCAGAGGTGCTAGTATTTCTGCTTTGTCTCTGTTAACTAGATACATTACTGTGGCCAAAGAAAGTTCCACACAGAATGATAGGTGCTCGAGGGAGAAAATGGAGAGGGTAGGGGCATTTGAATAGTGACTGTGTCAGGGCACTAGCAATGGATGCTCTGGTCCCCCGAGAACAGGAAGCTAGTTTCATTTTTGAAATTTTTTTGAAAGAGAAACTAATATTCAGGCCAATCAAATATCAACTACATTTCTATAAAATGCATAAACATTTTCCTTAAATAGAAAGCTTTGTTTTTCTAACAATCGCAAATCCAGAAAAAGAAAGATATTTTGACATTTCACAACCAAATTTTAAAATCATTAAAAATTTAACCAAATACAACTGTAAATCTGTTCCTGGGGACTCAAGAGAGTTCCAAGTATGGCAAAGTGAAAACTGCCTACATATAAAGCAAAAACTTTAAAATTAAAGATATGAGTTTTTAAAAAATAGCCCCTGGGATACATTAACCCCAGTACAACTAATTAAAACTTACTAACAGGGCATGAGTGAAAATTCCTCAGGGTCTGAGATGCTTTTTTCCCTTTGTTAAGCTAATTCCTTTCCCAAAGACAGGCTCAGGATCAGGCCTGTGATAATTCAGTACTCTCTTGCTAGAGCTGTTTGTTCAGAGAACACCATTTCTGTGAAACCATCAGTGCCCCCTCCAACTCTGAAGCTAAGCTAAGCTCTGTCTTTGGTTCTCTAAGACTTTTGTATTAGTCCAATTTCTCTAGAGAAGTGGATTTTATGTATTGTTTGAATCAATTCCTTATAATAATAACATATGGTAAGATATTGGCTCACGTATTTAGAGGGCTAAAAAAGCCACAACCAGGCAAGCTGATGTAAGATGCAGTGTGAGTCCAAATCCAAAGGCAAGAGAAGACTAATGTCTGAACTGTAGAATTCTTTGTTAGCCTTTTTGTTCCTCTCAGGCCTTCAGTGAACTGGATAACACCTACCACTTTGGAGAAGGCAATTTGTTTTACTTAGTCTAAAGATTCAAATGATATTTTCATCTGGAAATAATCTTCACAGCCACACCTAAAAATAATGCCCAAATATATGGGCAACATGTAGCTCAGTTAAATTGCCACATAATATTAATCACCACATACCTAGCACAAATCTAGTGTAGAACACAACATTTCAAGTTCTAGTTACATATCTAGCTCTCTTACTGAACTAGATGTGACAGCCTTCAAGGGTATGGACAAATTCGTATCAGGACAATGCCTAATTCACAACTGTCAAATGTGAAGAATTAAGTAAATTAATGCTACTTACTAATGTTTACAGAAGGATTGATTCTGTTTCATTCATTGACCTATCTTCAACCCCTAGAACAGTATCTGAGTCCATAGTAGATGCTTAATAGTTCTGTGTTGAATGAATGAGTGAATCTTTAGAATACCTAGGCCAAATTATTTTCAAGTACTTTAGGAGCATTGCCATAAAAGGTATTGATATGCTTATTAAAGGTTTTTAAAAAGCTCTTCTTCAGTAAAGTATAGTAAAGTACAACAGACTTTTTCCATGAATAGTTTGGCAGTAAATATTTTAGGTTCTGTGGGCCATATGGTCTCTGTCACAAAAACAACTATTAAACTGTGACAACACTAAAGCAGCCATAGATGCTCAGCAAATGACCATTGCCAAATTTCAATAAAACTTTAACAAAAACAGGCAGTGGGATACTTTTGGCCTATAGGCTATTGTTTACCAGCAACCTAGATCTTCAACAGCTACATTGCTAAAGTATTCTGTGTGTTCAAGTAGCATGGCTGTTTTATTTTTTTTAATCCTGTGATTATCTTTTCACCAAATCAAAGTGGCTCTCTTCCCTATTGTGTGAGTGAACTATGTTTTGTTTGTCCATATAGGGGCAGCTCATGGCCTGTCATCCATTCTCCAGATGCTTCTTTCTTACCATGAGCACCTCAAGCCTGCAGATCGTGAACTGGTGTGGCAGAGTGTGGACTTCCTCATGGAGCAGGAACAGAATTGCAATTGGCCACCTGAGCTTGGGGAGACCATCGAGAGAGAGAATGAATTGGTCCACTGGTGTCATGGTGCTCCAGGTCTTGAATGCACTGTTGTCTGAAAGCAAAGTCTATCATCTAACTTAGCTTAAAAAAAGTTTCTTTTCTGAGATGTGAAGTAAAAGATTTCTCATTATAGGCCATCACTATGTGAGATTAAAAGGACAAAATAAGGGATGGGGGTGTAGTGGAGCAGCAGACCACTTTTCTAGCATGCATGAAGTCCTGGGTTCCATCCTTGGCACTGCCAAACAAAGAAAATTTACCAGGATGAAATTTTTGGGCCAGGGGTTTAGCTCAGCAGCGTGCTTGACAAACGCAAAGTTGTGAGTTTGATCACGGGTATCAAAAAAAAAAAAAAAAAAGAAAGAAAGAAAGAAATTGTCAAAGCTAGAAATATCTTGATCCGTAAAGGACTTCTGAAAATAATTCCATATCTTAAAAATATATGATCTATATCTCTTTGTATATAAATTAAACTAGCACACCCAATAGAAATAAAACCCACGTGTAATTTAAATTTTAAAGTATAGGGAACATAGCTCAGTAATAAAGTGCATGCTTAGCCTACCAGAGGAACTGGGTTTAATCCAGAACACCAATCACACCAAAAAAAATCGATGTATGAAATAAATGTAATATTATTTATTACAGAACTCAATATACCCATAATATCACTTTGACATTAATCAATTTAAAAATTGAGATAGTTTACAGTTTTAAAATTGGTGAATATTTAAATTCCATTGTCTTTACATCACTCATCAATTAGACTAGCCACATTTCATAGATGAACAGCTAAATTGGATGATACAGATCTGGAGTCTACCAACTCTTATTATGGGACATGACCTAGTAGCATTGATAACTGAGAGCTTGTTAGAAATCCACAATCTTTGGCCCCACTCAGACCTACTGTATCAGAATCTGCATTTTTAACATTTTTAAATTTTAGGCAATCTGCATACACTTTTATTTTTAGGGTTCACAGTTTTAATTTTCTTTTTCAAATGAGAATTTACTGTACTGCCTAATAAAAGTCTAGAGAAATGGGAAGCAATCCCTGGTGAACTCTCAGCCTTTGTTTTTAAAATCCCATTACAGTACTAATTAGGCCTTTGAAGAAGGGGCAATTTGAAAGAAGTTAACTTCAAATAAATCAATTAATTTTGATTAATTTGCGAGGAGAGAGGTTGAAATACCAAAATAACATAATTTTTTTATATTCTAGGTTCATTTCATTTTTAAGGATATGCTTCAATCACAAGAGCACAGCTTTAGACTATATTTGCTCTCTTTGTCATCAGATTTTTTTTACTACCTAACCCTCCACTTAATGTTCTTTAATCCAACTGTAATTCCATTTTTTCCTTCATATAGTTTAACTTGAAGAGTAATATAAGTCATAGTGTATTGACACATTTTCTCTGCTGCCATCTTTACCTGTAGTAGAAAAACCCTTCAGATTGTGTACTTGTATCTGGACATTGTACATTTTGTCCTTCCTAAATCCTGCCGGGTATAATTTGTGCTCTTTTTTTCTTGCTTTGATCTCCTTGGAAATAACACACAGCAGCTATTTACCATCCTGGACATTACATTTCTTCTTGTTATGCTCACTATATCCATTTTCCATCCCCTTTCATCACTCTCAATGATGATCTCTCTGGATATCTTCCAAGCATCCCAGGATCCTTGAGTTTTGGAGACATCCCAAATTAAATGCAGAATATTTTAAAAGCACTCAGTGTGCTAGTAAAATCTCTTAATAGAGTAGAAAAATAATCTATGAGAATGAGTAAGAGAGCCAGTTAATTTATGTAGGTGTCTTGAAGGGCATCCTTTCTATATACCCAATGCCATCTGTCTCTATAAACCATCTCCTGTAACAGGGCAGCATGGAATTCATCACACTGGGGACTTGATACATCCTTCTTTATCATTCATATTAATTATGCTGAGAAGATGAAATATAAGTTGCAAAGCAAAATCATTCAATCCATATTATACCCACTGAACTGTCAAAAAAAAACGCCAATCCTCAAATAAATAAAAAAACTAAGTGGAGCCTGTAATTTCTGCCAACTCCCCAGCCCCATCTGAAGGATATTTGTCTTCCTTTTAAAAGATACTTTTAAAACAGCATCAGGGGACTGGGGATGTGGCTCAGTAATAGAGCTGGTGCACAAAGCCCTGGATTCAATTCCCAGTACCACAAATAAATAATAATCTGAGATATGTAAGTCAAAATTAATCACCATCTTTGAGGAAAAAAATTAAGAGTAGATTTATGAACAGCACAGATGGTTAAGGGTGGTAGACCAACCCTGTGATTAAAACTCTGCCAGACATAATCTACAATGGAGAACTTCATTAATGGTATCTTATCTTTTCATTTGTTTCCTATTGACTTTCCTTCATGTTGCCTCTACAGATTACAACCTTTGTTGTCATTTAGACACTTTAGAAATAATTCTTGACTACATATTGATAACTTTAGAGTCTGACTGTAGCTGCAACACTAACCATTTAAGTCACCTTGAGGAAAATCAGTTTCATCTGTGAAATGAGCACTTTGAGATAGATAAGAACTCAAGCATTTTTTTCATCACAAGAAAGATATTCTCTACATTGATCCTTGTCATTCCGGAGGTATATGTCCCAGATGCTTTGCAAAAGCCCTTATTTATAAATATCTACCATGGCATATAGATTTTTATCATTCAATGCAATAAAATACTGCAGGAAGACTCATATAACCCCTTGATAGCCTTCATGACTGTAATATATAGGGAATGTCATTTGCAAAATTATTAAAACAAAGCTATGGCTAAAACAAACTGTCAACTGCATCAAGTTACATTATTACTATGGTAACACTGACATTGCATTTTCTGTATTCTGTGTGAAACACAGGTGTGAGAATTTTTAAAGACTCTTTGCACAAAAGCACTTAAATAAGTGACTTTGAATAAAGAACACAACTTTTGAAACACAAATTGGTTCCTAAGCTTTATAGCACCTCAGAAGAAGTACACATCCTGGAATGGGCCTGAGTGGTGATTCTCTAGTATCTTGATACTATATGTCAAGTCTAGCTGTCACAAGTTTCTGCTAGATCCAATGTTTTCAAAGATTTGGTCTCTCAAACCATTTTTATTAAGTAATAATTCCTTTCCCCGTCATATTTGGTAAAGATATACATTTCTGCTTGGCTTGAATTTTTTTTTCACTGCACACTAATTTAGTTTCCCCATGAAGAACTGATAAGGTTTACATCAAAACCAATGATACAGCATTGTTCAATTTAAATTAAGCAGGCTTATTGTGGATTCTGTAGTTAGGTTAGGAGCCACCACTTTAGAAGTTTTTCAGAGTCCTTTTTACATATCATTCTGTGATCTAGGCTACAGGAAAAAGCCCTTTCACGCTGGCTAGAGCCACAGGATCTATACGACTGAGGCTAATGGCCTTATATAGCAATTAGACAATCTCAGATCTTCTTCATTCCACATCTCTCATTCCCACCTGAGAATTGGCCTGTGTAGAAATGTGCAATTAGGAATCACAGGGATATTTTTGGGACCATGGTCATGTGTTAAACACTGTGCAACAGGTAAAAATGAGTAAGATACAGTTCTTGTTACTGAGTAATGTACACTATACTAGGAAAGGTAGACATGGAAATTGATCCTTTTAATTTGCCTCTATACAAGTGATAAGGTTTTTATTGGGAGCTATGGGAGACCAGAGGAGGAATTCCTGATACTGCTTCCAGGTTTAAGAGAAGCTTTCTGGAAGAGGTGATATCTGCAGCAAATTGATTGATAAACAAAAATGAGAAGCTTTTTCTAAGAAGTGGCAACAGCATGGACATTCAGAAGCATAGAAACACTGCAGGTAGTTTGTTAAAGTAAAAGCCTTCAAGCAGAGAATTGAGGAGAGACAGGAGCGGAAGCTGTATGATGCCAATGTACCTAGGTAATAAAGAGGTATTTCATCTTCCTTTAGCGAGAATGACTCCTTCCACATCATACTATTTTGTGGGTGACTAGAAGCAGAGTCTGCTCTTATCAGGAACCTATCAAGCAACAAGGAAGCAGGATGAGGCAAAAGGAAAAGCCAAAGCATGGCTCACCTGGAGACTAGCTTCATGCACTCTGACAATGAGGTACATCTAAGAGGCACAAACCAAACCAGAAAATCTAATTCTGTCTTGAGGTAAGGGAGCTGAACCTTTGCACTCTTCTCTAGTTGAAATATGCTGAGGAATGGGTGCATAAAATAACCTTCCATTTAACGGTGGGCTAATCCATCAAGGAAGGGATAGCTGTAAACTGCTCTAAGCATTGTTATTGGCCAGCTCTCACAGGAACTGGGAGATGGGCCAATTTTCTTGTGAGCTAAGGGAGATCCAGAAAGGATACCAATAGCACACGGTACACCTAGCCAATTCCTCTTCAGAAAGCATCATTTTCCAGTAAATCCTTCCTACCATCAATTGTGGGGCAAGAGCCTTGCCATGTAACCCCAGTACATCTCCATTTCTCCACACATACTCTAATTAATATCTCTACATGAAAGTTGGAACTTTAGAAAACCTATGCCTGGCACATAGTAGGTTCTCAATTAATATCCAAACAGCCACCAAATCCTGTGACATTACTCTTTCATTAGCTTCATTTCCATCTTTCTGCCAATATAATAAGCGAAGAGTCATCCTATTACCCTTCTTTAGACCTTCTCATAGCATTGTGGAATGATATGTCTGTAAGAACAAATGCACTGTTATATAAAACACCAAGCAAATCAAAACAAAAACACTTCCAGTGGTTCCTTATTTCCCACAATATGCAGTTCAAGCTGCCTAAATGGACTCCTAAAGCCTTCCATAATCAGCGCCTGCCTGTCAGTGGCTTACTGGTTAGCACATTGCCCCTTTGGCCATCCTATAATTCATCTTTCCTGTATCTAAACCTTTGACTTTGTGATCTTGGTGCCTAGAATGTCCTCCTTACCTCACCTTAGGCCTGGAGTTTCCTAATTGTCCTAAAAAAAACACTGATAAAGTCCTACATCTGTGGCCTCTCCAAACTGTCTTCCCCAGGGAACTTCCATTTTCCTTATCCATCTAGTATCACTGAAAGATTTGAATGAATTTTATATCCCAGCAGCATCATGTACATATTTCTATCTCATTTTTAAGACAGTGCTTCTTAAAGGGCAGGAATTATCTTTAACCTTTATTTTATATCACCCTGGCCAGGACTGGCAACATAATTTTGGGAACTCATTGCAAAATGAAAATGCAGGGACGATTTTAGAAAAAGAAAATTATTAAGTATTTCAAGATGGTAATAGCAACATGTAAGAACCAGGATGGGCCACTTTAAGGGATGTAGACTGTGGGCATATGCAAGTCCAGAACACATGCGAGGCCCACGAAGCTGGCCTTGCATAGAGCTGTACATTAAAATAATCAACAGTCATTGTCAAACAAATGGATGCAATGAATTAATGAATGTATAACTAATTTTCTTTTAAAATCAGCCTTTAGTTTGCTGAGATTCTTTTTTTTTTTTTAAACGTAAGGAAAACAATCCTGTAGGTAAGCCATGTCAGTATTGGTTGACTGGAAAGCTTTGCCTGAGCATTGAGCCCATTGCTGTGTGTTAACCACAGAGTTAAAGGACACATTGTAAGAAGATGACATCAAAATTGTGGCTCTAATATAAATATAAAATGGATGTATATCAAACATTTTTCTTAGCTCATTAACTAATGAGAGAGCTGGAAAGGTGTTACAACTGGTTCAAAAAATATCCAAAGAGCAGGCATATTTATAGAACCTTTAGGAACATACAAATGCATTAGTTTCATGGCTGCAAAATTGACTTCTCCCACAAAGGTGGAGGAAAAGGAAGTTGACTTCTGCCAGACAAAATGTGAGCATCTAGGGACAAGGATTATTTACATTACAATCGGTTTTCTACAAGGTAATTTCTATATGTACATAATTCTAAAACAGCCTGTTCAGTGCAATGAAAGACAGATAACCCTGATGGATGAGCTAGTCAAGATACATACTGCATGTCGCCTTTTTAATGTACTACTTTTTAATGTAATTTTTTTGGTACTAGGATGGAATCCAGGAGATTCACATGAGCTAGGCAAGTACTCTGCCACTGGATTGTTCTCCAGCCCTTTTTTACTTTTTAGTTAAGAAAAAGAAAGGCTATGCACTAGAGAAAATGGTACTGTGTTACTACCCTCTCTGAACATAAAGCACCTGGAAATTGGAACCTGGGTAAAATCATAGCTATTATTTCTCTTGTTTTCATTTCCATCTTTGTAATTGATATTACCTCTCTTGACAAGTTTTGAAGGGACATTTCTTTACTCTGAACAGTGAAATGGGAATGACTGTACAGTTGGAATACCATGAGAAGTCTTGGTGAGGTCTTTTGGAACCATTGTCGTTCTTGGAGAGATTCCCAGTTTTGCTCTTAAGAAAATATGTTTTGTTATAAGTACTTAAACATGATATGTGCTGAACTTCTGTGGTGGGATGAGTAAATTCTATGAACAGCCTTTCCAAATAGCCAGAATATATGCATTTTAAATATTAACCCATTTGTAAATTGAATGATGGATTTTTATCAATCAATGTCCTTCAATTAAAATATTGCCTTTTCTCCAAGGGCCAACTCCACAATATAGTTAAAACAACTTAAACTACATTCCACAAGGAAAAATTTGTATAACATTCTTGCTACTGAAAATGTGATCACCATGAGGGTGCTTGTTAGAAATGCAGTATCTTGTTCTGATGTAATTCTGTGATAAAGTGAACACAGAGGGAGAGAGAGAAACAAAAAAGGAGAAGGAGAGCAGGAAGGAGGGAGGATAGGAGGGAGAGAAATAAGGAAGAGAGAGAGAGAGAGACAGAGGGGGAGAAGGAGAGGGAGAGAGAAACGATAGATAGATGGGGGAGGAGAGGGAGACAGAAAAGATAGTCCCCCTTTCAGAACTGTCATATTAGATTTTGTGAGATGATTTCTGAAGCTTTTAAAGTTTCAGAAGTTCTGTTCTATAGTTTCAGACTTGAAAGTCACCTCTAATATATGATATTTTCACAGGAATTGCCTATCTGTTTGCCAAAGCTTATCTGGTTTCCAAGAAACCACAGTACCTGGATACATGTATCCGGTGTGGGGAGCTCACATGGCAGAAGGGCCTGCTAAAGAAAGGGCCAGGAATTTGCCACGGTGTAGCTGGCAGTGCCTATGTATTCCTGCTGCTATATCGACTTACTGGAAACTCAAAATATATTTACCGTGCCCAAAGGTCAGTCATTTCTCTCATGTATTTTTACAACTTTTAATCTAATGAATTTTCTGTGTAGGTATAATAGTCACATGGTCTAATAAATACAAAAAGAAAATCATCAACAGTACCCACCAGCCATTTGATTGGGTTGTTTGGAAGCACTGCTACCATGTTTTGGTTACCTTCCTAAGGAGATTGTGTGTACATACAAGCAAATGGGAATATGTACATAATTTTGCCCCTTACTTTGATGTACATATGGTAACAGCTTGTTATCTTTTTGATAACCCTAAGTCAGTGTAGGAAGAAATTTTACAATGTTTTTGTTAAATATTTTGTTTTTTATTGTAATAAAATATTTTATTTGCTAATTGACAGTATTTGTGTTATGAATAATAGTATAATGAATAACCATATACAAGTACAATTTTGCAAATATATGGGTATATTTAAAAGGTAAATTCAACTTGGCAATGTGGCTTTTGCCTATAATCACAGCACTTGGGAAGCTGAGGTAGAAGGGTCACTGCAAGATCCTGTCTTTAAAAATCAAAAAAAGAAAAAAGAAAAAAAAGTTAAATTCCTAGAAGTGAAATTTGTGGACCAAAGAATACGTATATTTGTAATTTTGACAGGTAATGCTAAATTGCCCTCTATACTTTATTCCCTGAAAATAATAGAGATAGAACATCAGCTATATAACAGACAACATTCCTTTTAATAGAAATAACTTTTGACAGGTAAACTGAGTAAAACGGAAGAATAATACCATAAATGTACTTTCAATGATCTGGTAGAATGCATAAATGGAAGCTTCACTCATTGTTGACTGGCATGAAACTGGCATTGTCTTTGAGGGCTTCAGAAGGTGTCTATGTCAGTAAGCTGTTACAAAAGGTACTAGTTCTCTATGTGACACTTAGGTTCTGTAATCCAAGGGCCCTGTCCCACGATTATGTTATCTGATTCCTTGTATCTGAGCTGTCACTTGGTGGAGGATCAAGAATAGCCTCTGTACTGTTGAGATCATTCCAACTGAGGGATATAATTGATGGTTATTATATGGAGATGTGACCTTCAGCTAGTCACTTACCCTAGTCTGTATCTCAACTTTCTCATCCATGACACATGGAAAGCAGTGCTTACTTCACACGGGTGCTGTGTATTTTAAATTAGTTAACATATGAAAATCATTTTTAAAATGTCAGGAACAATTGCAATGTCAGTGTACACTGTTAGTATTATTATATATATTAAATTGAGTTTATCATTCCATTCTTTTCTCTGTGCATAAATGTGTGCATGGGTGTATTGTTTTTTTATTTTGAAGATTGGATCTAGGACCTCATGCATGCAAGTGAGCACTTTATCACTGAACTGTAATTGTCATCTCTATGTTATGTTAAATAGGCTCTCCTATTACCTTTATATAATAGTACTGTTTTGAGCTTGAAATTTTGCATGATGAATTTTAAAAGGACTTCCTTCATTTCAGTTTGCTTAGATCTGTCTTGTTATTTTAACCAGTTATATTCACTATGATTATACCATAATTAATTTAACCAATATCTAAGTAATGGATATTAATTCATGTGCAACTTTCACTAGTACAAAAATTGCTCCCAATGTCTACTATATATATTGTGCCTTTGTGCAAATGTTTCTTATGATAAATTTTAGAATTAAAGTTGGTAAGTCATTAATTGGTATTTTTTAGCCTGTAACTAGTCTGTTTTAATATTTTCTTATTTTTTTTCTAATGTGAAGCTTATTAGGAAACATAACATTTTGTTAATACATGCTGTAATTATTTTCCTACTGTGATATTACTTTTTAAACTTTATTCATAGTCATTTTCTTGTTAAAGATGTCCATATTTCCCTTAAGATTTCTGGAATTGTATTGTGCCTAAAAACTACTAATCCCTTTCAAAATTCCAAAAGTGTTATTTTACCATTAAAATTTTTGTTCATCTAGAACTGTATTATTTATTGAAAAGTAAAACTCCACAGTAATTATATATATACATATATACGTATATATATATATATATATATATATTCTAAAGGAGAAATACATATGTAAAGAATTTACATACGTATTTACTTCAAATGAGCATTTACTTCTTTTTTTTTTTTTTTTTTGTCTTTTTCCTTTTTACTGGTACCAGGGATCGAACTCACGGCTGCCTGCTTGCAAGGCAGGCGCTTATGCCGCTGAGCTAAATCCCCAGCCCCAATGAGCATTTACTTCAAACTCCATTTTACTTCAAACTCCATTTTTCTAGGAATTCTTTGAGCATTTTAATTCAGGGTTCTCTAATTCATTTAGATAGAAAGAAGTCTCACCTGTTGTTCCCTAAATATAGCAAATAAAAGATATTTTGGATTGCATCTAGGTTAATGGGTTATACCTCTGATAAATTTCATTAAAAGTTCTCATGCTTTAAAATGTTTATTAAAATAGGAGTGTAAACAAGTACAGCCATTATGTAAATCAGTATGGAGATTAAAACACTGAAATTAGAAATTCCATTTGACTGAACTACTCCCTTTCCAGATATCTTTTGGAAAATATGTCTGAAGAGACATATTACCATGATGCATGTATACCCATTTTTATAGCAACATAGCTCATAATAGCTAAGTGACCTATATGTCCATCTACAGATGAATGGATTATACACAATGGAGTACTATTATGCCATAAGTAAGGATAAATTTGAGACATTTGTAGGAAAAATAAATGTACCTTGAGAACATAATGTTAAGTGGAATATATTCTGAAACACAATCTTAAGTATCACATGGTATCTTTTTTATGAAAAACCCAAAATAGAAATTAAAAAGCAAAATAAAAGACAGATAATGGGAAATAAAGAGATAGATATTTTTCAAAAGGGAAGTGGACCAAAGGATGGGGTGAAAAGAGAGAAAAATGTGTTATGTACGTGTACCAAGTTCCCTTGAGGAATGTGATCATTATATACTGCAAACATTTATTAAAATAATAAAAATCAAAAAGAAAACACCTAAAAACATAGGTTCCATTGGAGACAACTTTTGCCTTCTTGATAGCTTCCTAAAAGAATTAAAAACATCATACCACAGCAATACATGCACGCCCCTGTTTATAACAGCACAGTTTGTAATAGCTAAATCTTGAAAATAATCCAAACAACCATCAACTGATGACTAGATAAAGAAAATGTGATTTTTCAAAATGTACAACGGGTGACTATTCTGCCATAAAAGAGGCTAAGCTGGAAATACTTCTAGTTAAATGGACACACCTTGAGAACATGCTCTCAAGTGAAATAAATCAGACATACATGTGTAAACACAGCATTGTTTCCCTAGTGTGAGAAACTGAAAGTGTAAATAAGGACTAACATATAGAATAGATATTGGGAAATAGGAAGAAACTGTCCAAGATGAGGAGGAAATGGGGAGGAGAGAGAAAGAAGAGAAGAGAAGGCAGGGAAAAGAAAAAAAAATGAGAAAAGAAGGAATAAATGGAAACAAAGCTTTTTTAAATAGGGAGAGGAAGAAGGGTTGAAGAGAAGGTAAGGGAATGGGAGAAAAAAATCAAATTATATCATGTACAGGTACAAATTCCATATAATGAATGTAATTATTATGTATATTGAAAATGTAACAACAAATTTAATTTTTAAAAATTGGATCAAAGCAGCCTCCCTATTTTCTGGCAGGCCAGTCCCAGTTCTAGCTTACGAAGTCTGGTTTATACGATTGTAATTTACCGGGCTCTTCAGAAAATTTTAAATTCTCACAAACATGAATGAGACTAAAAATGTGCAGGTAATATATGAATATTCTTTAGACACAGCATTTTATTGCTTAGAGTACTGAAATTTTCAATTAATTATGATTCAAAGTTAAAATAATATGGCTGAAATTAAGGAGGCTTACCTAATTTTGGCAGTTCCTAAAACAGTATTTCAAATAATATGCACCTTCCTAGAAAAATCATTACTTGATCATTACCTATTACTCTTTTAATTAACAGTTGAAATTTTGGGTTACAGAAAATGTTGACAACTTTTTCATTTTCTTCTATGATTATTAAATTACTATAGTTTTCTACCTATTCTTTTCAGTATTAGATATATTTCTATAAAACCACCTTGTTCTTTGGATTTTCAAATTTTGACATAGAGCTCTAATAATTTAGTTTTGTAATATTTTGAATTTCCAATGTCTGTGGTTGTATGCCTTCTCATTTCAAGTGTCATTTAATATGGTATTGAAGGACACGTGTTATTATGTCACATGTTTGTCTTACAATTGTTAACTGAGGTTAACGATGTTGTTTAGTGGCAGAGAATGTGCTCAGCATGCAAAGACCCTGGGTTCAATCCCAACACCAAAAAAAATTTTTTTACTAACTGTGCCTTAATGTAATTAATTTCCTTTGAATATTTTTATATTTTATTTTATGCATTTGAAAACTTCTATTGAGGAGTCAAGACTGCCAAATGATTTGTTGCACTAAAAAGGCAAAAATTCCCCTCAAGCTGCACCATCTCACTGATTCAATTTTAGGATTAAAAGTTTTGAAATAATTTGAAGATGCTTTATTATTATACTGTTTAAAATAAAATTCCATTTTAAGTTGTTGCCTATTCAAGAAACCATTTGATACAAAGATTGTATCTAACAGAATTGCCATATGTTGCCTGCTCATTTTCCCAAGCTTTCATCAGTAATTGAAAGAGCCCTTAAAAAAAAGAAATAATTATGCTTCATAGCATTCCCTGTGTAGTAGCAATAATATAAACTTCTGAAAGTGTCAACTTTCAGATCTTATACAGGTCTGCTCCATTCAAACTTTGTATGCTCCATTCAAACTTTGAGTTGGCGGTTATTTTTGTTCTTGATGAGAATGAGTAGAGAAAGTCAGTTAAAAAAAGACAGATGACAGCACTCTAAAAACTAAACTACTATAAAAATGTCACTTGTTACAAATAATCTCAATAGTATTTGTGGCAAGTGTAGATAAGAGATGAAAAGGTCTTTCATAGAGAATTTGGAAGCCACTGATATTTTTAGGGTGGATGTCTTAAAATTATCTGTCTTCTAGCTGAGATTACTATTTGACATCATCATTATAAAAGGTCTGTTATCCTTTCACATGTATCTTATTATTTTGTTTTCACAAAGCTCAGATTGTATAAGATCTTGCATATTTAATTTCCAGTGTAGGAGAACATAAACTATGTTCTCTGAATGAGCCTTTGTGCTTTTTGTCATGTTATGCAGTGAACTATTTTTAAGGTCTAATCAGTGATTATTTTTCCAACTCCGTGTTTCTCTAAGGAATTATTTTGCACACGGACCATTCTTAGCAGTTTTCCTCAGTGATGGAATATCATGAATGTGAGTCATTATGTAGCTGTCGTACATTGAGCAAATAAACTTACAGATCTGATGTCAAAAAAAAAATTTCCAACTCTCTACTATCTGTCACGTATAAATGAAAACTAGTTCAGAGATAATATGTCTACAAAGACACAGAATATTTACTTTTTTTGAAGGAACACTGACATAGCACTTTGTTTCTATTCAAGAGAAATTAAAAAAAAACAATTTATCCACCTTCTCTTTTAATCATTAGATGACAGAGGGAATGAAACCCTTAGAAAATACCAAAGTGCTTTGCTTTGCAAGCTCTGAAAATAGTTGCATTTGCTTGCCAGCATAATTTGTGGTGAAACATTCACAATTATTTGATAACTCCTCTTATTGTTTTTACTCAGTGAATTAGACTTTCTCAAAATAATTATACAATCATGGAAAGAAAATATGCTAAAATTTTAATTTAGCTGAAGAAGAGAAAGAAACAACCCAAGGTAATACTGTGGAATTACACACGTTAACACTATTTCTATTTTCTTCTTCTCTTAGGTTTGCTCAGTTCTTATTTACTGAAGAATTCAAGGCTGGTTCTCGAGTTCTTGAAAGTATATACAGCTTGTATGAAGGCTTTTCTGGGACAGTGTGCTTTCTGATCGATCTGCTACAGCCCAGTCAGGCTGAATTCCCTCTCTTCAGTGTCTTTGTTTAGAAGGTTCCATCTCCTTTTGTGGCCCGGAAGAAGTCTTCTGAGGTTTCTTGAGCCTCTAGCAAGGCACTTTCCACACAAGCCACATTCAATGGTATCACAACCATGAGCCTTAACATGGCCACCAGAAGAATGAGAGAAGGCAAGTTACGGGAGCACAATACCAAACTGGAGAGGAAATCTGTGAAATGTAGATTATAACAACTCACCTGAAAATGTTAGAGATTTACTATTTCAGGGAATAGATGTAAAACTAGACATCAGAGGAAAAAGAGAAAGAAATGGTCTATTTTTCAGGGAGTGATATAGTAAACAAATTTGAAATGGTGGCTATGGCAATAAAATGTTAACACTCTCACAATTGAAAACAAAATTCAACTATTTGTGGATGCCCTCCACTCCTAAATTCAGAAATAATGACAATCAAAAACTAACATAATTTTTATCCCCACAAAAACTGCTAGCAGGGATGAGGTATAAGAATGAAGGACATAAAAAGAAATCTTTGGTTGTCCTTTGCCTTTACTTATTGAAATTCATAATTTTTACTGAATAGTGATATTTGTGTATGAAACTTTTATCACTACCCTGGGCACTTTAAAAAATATATTATAACTTAATTCAAATATGGAAATGTTTTTCATATCCCTTATCATTTGTTTTCCTAGTTCATTTTTCTTTCCTAAAGCTCAATTAGAATAGTAACATTCTTAGCTGGGAATGTAGCTCTAGCATAGAGTATACACTTAGGATATCTGAGGTCCCAGATTCTATCCTTAATATCATGGGAGGAATAAAATTAAAATTCATAAGCTAAAAACACCATAGAAAGTGTTACAATCAAGTATTTCTCAATTTGAAGTGTGAACTGTGTATTTTCTAGTGTTAGTAAATTCTAAAGTGCTTCTATGTTAATAATCCCTACAAAACTATTATTGCACTGTAAAATATGCTCTTGGTAAAAATCACTCATCTCAAGGATCAGGGTAACCACGACAAAGGCATATTATTTCTGCGTTTGATGAAATATTATGTCTCTTAGGACAGTCACTGGCTGAAAAAATCACCAGAGATTGTGGAATTTTGCTTCGTTTTATAATCTTAGAGTTCTAGATAAATGAATTTATCGGTGATCAACAGTTCTTCCAAGATACAAGGTACACTACAAATTGACCATAATATCTACTGAGCCCAGTTATCAAACTGAATCTTCCTAAAAACACATAGAAATTGTAAAACTGCTTCAGGTGCTTCATAGTGGATCATAGAACATTGTAGGAGTGTCTGTCGGTTTAATGCACACTGCATGAGCTTACCCCTGTCATAGAATTTGATCCCTGACATTTTCATATATCATATTAAGAAGGAAACTTTACTGTATAAAACTTAATTATTTAAAGTCATTTGATATTTGGATGTTTATGAATGTGTATATATATGACATATATATGTACATGTGCTACATCTTATCTTCTAATCATCTACTACTTAGTTCAGTAATTCCTTATCTAAGTCATACGTAGACCTTTGGGCAAAATTAGGGAATGCTCTATGGCCTAAACATTTATGTGCATTTGGTATGTGTAAATACATGCACTAATGTGTTGGGTGTGTGTCCATGCATACTCCTGTTTGATGGAAAAGAATTTCTAGTATTTGTAAGTTTCTTAATCTGACCAAAGAAAGACAAGAACTATAACCATCTTTGTATATTTTATGGTATTTTGTATGTTTACACACATTAAGACAAAATTATTTTGAGAAGCAGGCATATTTTTGGCTTACTGTTCCATTTCCATATCTTCAGATAAAAGCATGCAGAATTAGCCTCCTTGTTAACTTGTGAATATAGTCAATTTGGTGTAGCACTATATAAGTAGCAGCTTTCAGATGACTCCCAAAATTGGGTCCCAAAATTGGGTCCTCCAGGAACAATCAATCTTGTCATTTCCTCTTAAACTTTACTGCAAAGGCTAATAAGTGGTCTCCTTTAGACATGATAATGAGGCCTGCTTTTCACCATATCATTTTAAATTTATTTCACTGCCCCTATAGGTTAAAAATAACAACTACCCAGTATTAGGGCTTTAATCTTTAATAGTAAACTTGCTTTTCTCATCCTCCAGCAACCCTTGAACATGTGCATTATGATTGCTCCGAAGTTTCAAAGCTAGGAAGCATTAAGGCAAATATTTAAACCCAGGACTTCACTTTCCAAATTTATGTATTTGATATCCTAAACTACCTGACCAAAATATCCTTCTATCTTCCCTTTCTTTTTGCTTGTCTTTTCACCATTCATGTCTGAGACCTAAAATCTAAAGCGGTAAGGAGTGAGACACTAGCTCATCCTATCATTCTAGGATCTTTAGAAAAAGTGGACTTCTTCTTTGTTTACTGATACTTCTAAGATCTAGTAGGGTAACTGTGACATGTTGTCCTTACTGTTGTGGGAAGACACTTCTGGTTTGTCAAATCCAAGAAAAGCTCTTGTTTGGAAACTGTCTTTCTGAAACAACATCTCAGTCAATTAGAACAAGGTTAAGCTCATTAACACTTAAATACTGTGGAAACTTTTTGTTTTCCTGAAGAAATAGAAATGTAGTTTTGGGGAGGTACTCTTCTATCATATTTTCCAAGAATAGGTCAGAAGGCTCTTAAATTTTGCTATAGAAAGGCGGCTTGCCACTTCTTGTTAATCCACCTTGCTCCCTCTGTGTCATACTGTAGTGCAACACCATTACTGCAATACTAAAGCATGTTTCCTCTTAAAGACTACAGGAACATTTTTACCACCACTAGTATAATTTTGATATTACTTATCATATGTGGAACAAGCTGTGTAAGTCTTGAAGGCAATTGTGGAAATGTTTGTGGATTCATCAACAAAGTTACTCAACAATAGTAAGATTGCATTATACTTTGATAATAGGAGTTTTGTAAACTACCACAATCCTGTGTGTTTTTTCATGACACAATTACATTTCTTTTTTTCCACTCATCCCCCAGAATGTTATATTATCTTTTTTATCCAGTCTGATTTTACTCATCAGTTTTTACTTTTTTGTTGACTATTCAAAACTGAGAAAAATTTTGGTAGCACATATGGCCCTGTACTTCTTTAGATAATTGACAGTGTTTTTAAGATGATAATGTTCATATATTGATAACTCAAAGAACAAATAGAATCAAATATGATTTTGTTTTTTGCTAAATCACAGCTCTTCCCTTGGCAACCTACTTCTTTAACTTTCTTTAACATGCTAAGATTATAGTCATTAGTATGCAAATTATTTCAGTTTCTGTAGAGAATATGCCTCAATAATTTAAAAAATGTAAGGTTGTAATTTATAATAATGTCAATAAAATTCACAGAACTGTGGGTGTATTCATTAGTGACAGAGTACTTGCCTAGCCTGTGTGAAGTCCTGGTTCCATCTCCAGGAACAACAATAATATATATATATATATATATATATATATATATATATATATATAGTAATGATAATAAAATAAGGAAGGAAGGAAGAGAGGGAGGGAGGGAAAGCAAATGAAACATGCTATATTTTAAGTACATAGAAAATTATGCTCAATTATGACTTCCAGTAAATGTTTCAGCCAAACAGAATCCAAGTCTGAATAACTGGACAGGTTAAAATCAATGTACATTTTTTATGTTTTACCACTAGTCCTGACTATAGCTTACACAGAGATTAATTTGTTTAGCCTGGGAGCTTCTTTTAATACAAATATTTATTCTACTTATTGAAAACAAAGGATTATGATGCCCATATAAGTGAATTGAGAAATTAAGTAATTTAATACTAAGTTTGATCTGTATTTTAATTTAGGTATCAGAGCTATATGACATATAGAAATAAAAATGTTCTGTCAGCTGTGTATAAGTACTTCCTTTGGGGACCTGGTTTATTTTTCAACACTTTTTCAAATTATAGCTAAAACCACTAAAGCAGTCTCAAATTTGCTAAGGCTCTGTGATCTTGATATAAACTTGGCAAGGAAAATAAATGAGAAAGCAAGCAAAGGAGTAGATAGGTTAGAGAGTTTGTTAGCGCTCTGCATCATAAAGTGAATTAATGGTGCTAAGAATATGAACAATCTTACCCATTCATTTTATTGCTTCCTGGGACCTCTAATCCTGAAACATTCCCAGTGTCTTCTTTCTCTTTAAATAGCTCATTGAGATGTATTTTTTTCTCCCCTATGTCTAGTTAATCATGTGACCTTCTTTCTCCTGGGAGGGCAGCTTTTCTCCTTATCTCTCCTGTCCATGTCTGTTCTTAACTAAGAGCTCCAAATTCAATAAGGCTGGACTCCTCTCCGGACAGAAGGGCTGATCTTACATTCAGCAGCAGCAGTAGTTGAGCCTATTCTATAGTCAGATTACAAGTTCAGCACAGCCTACAAGTGCACCAACTTGTGAGAATGTGATGGTGTTATCCTGCTTCCCCCTCTTAAATAAACTTGGTCACTGCATTTTATTTTATTATTTTAAAAAAGTTGATGCTCCATTACATGTCTTGGTCATCATAAATCTCACAATGGAAGTGTAGTCTCTCTCAGTTCTTTATCTGAAAGTGTTAATGCATTGAGGCCTGATGGATGATGCCTTTAGTGTATAGAAGAATATTTGTTTGAATTTTCTTAAAATATCAAACTTGGTAATTTCTACCAGGACTTTCAAAAATTGAAAATTCTCTTACCTTCAGAATTCTTACCATGTTACTTTTCCATTGTGTACCTGCTATTTACCCTTCTGAACTGAATTTAAACGTTTTTTAGAGTGGAAACCAAATCATTTATACTTTTGTTCTGAGCTGGGAAGAGGGAAAAGCTGGTGATTTATATGAATTAAAACAGAAGATTGTCCTCTCTTTCTTTGTACTTTTATTTGATACATATTTATGTGGTATAGTGCAATAATTCTGAACATGTATCCAATATGTAATGATTAAATCAGAATAGTGTATCCATTTCCTCAAACATTTATCATTTCTATGTGCTGAGAAACTTTGGTCTCTTCAAAACAGAATGAAAAATATTATGAATTATTTTGGACAACAGTGACAGCACTGTACTATAACACTGGAAATAATTTCTCCTGTTTTTCCTCTCAATTCTTTCCTTTCTCCTCCCTGAACAATAAGAAGGAACATAGAAAGGGGGAAACATGCCCAAAATTCAGTTCCTCCCTTGCCGGGTGTGAGTCTCTCTGTGTAAGCATGAGAGGGAGAACATCCTATTTGCCCGAAGATTATTCAACGGAGCTGCTTGATATTACAGCTTTTACCCTACCATAACACATGGATTACAGTCCTAATCTCATTTTCAAAATTTGGCATAAAATCTCTGGCTCTAATTATTTTTGTACTGTTCTCCCTTATTGATAGTTTTTTTTAAAAAAGACATTCTAGTTATTGTATTGTTTTAGTAACATTTCCATTTACAAAATATTGAAATTCTTGATTGCTAAAAATTAAATGAATGATTGCAGTGAGCCACATTTCTTTTTCTAAGTGGGTAATTACCCACTTCTTAAACAATTGTTTTAAGAAGAGTGTCACATGTGAAATAAAATCTAACCTTTAGCTATGAAAAACATCTGAGTGAACAGGTATGTTTAAGCATAAATTGATTAATGAATGAGTCTTAACTTTGTGCCAACTGCTCTCTATTAATTAACACATAATGAGGATCCAAGTTGAACTTCAAGCTATCTTGAACTTTCATTTTTGTTAAAACTTCTGCCACATAGTAGCTATCTGTAGAAGATACCAAGGGTTTCACAAATACAGCAGCACTGTTTGATGGAAATATGTGACCCATAAACACAAACTACATATATAATTTAAAAATTTTATAATAGCCACGCTAAGAAAGAAAAGAATGAAATTAATAATTTTGTATTTGACTAAAGTTACTATATCCAGCATATTAAAATATTATAGTTTTAATGTTCCTTAAATACAAAATATTAATGCAATATTTTACTTGTTGTACTAAGCCTTCAAATTCAATATGTATTTGCATTTACCACTCATCTCAAGTTAGACTAGCTATTTTTCAGGTGTACAAGGACTACACTATGGATTGATGGCTGTATTGACCTTACAGAACTAGTATCACATTCTTCTTAGTAATGATAAGATCTCACTACTGCTTACATTATCTTTGTTGTTATGAAAGAAAACAGAAACAAAACACTGCATACTATATGAGTACTAGACTTCTTATACAACTGCAGCAGAACAGTCAAAGTGAAAAAAGGAGATTCTGAAATTAAGTTAGGGAAATTTCATGCCTTTACTTTCTTTTGGAGCTTACATGGTGAGTTAACATTCCAAACGCTGAGCAAACTCTCCTGGATAAAGAACCCCAGATAAAGTTGACTTGTTGAACTCTGTGTAGTTCTAGAAATTGCCATAGGAGTCTCTACACAAAAAAATGCTTTGTGTTTTCCTCTCCTCTTCTCTTTTTTGAGCACATCTCTCCTTATATTTATATTGAGAATCACCTGGGAACTATGATATTATTGCTCTTGTTCTAGAATATCAATTTACTAAATTGTAACCAGCAGATGGCTTTAAAATCTTACACATAAAAGTAGACCTTTAGAAAGAACCGAAATACATACTTTTAGAAATGGTCAACACACTCTAAAAAGATATGGAAACATCTGAACCTGTATATGTGTAAACGTGGATTCCATATGTGTACAATACAATTTTGCAAGTCTTCCTTTTCCTATTTTATGTGCTTTAGTGTACATTCTCCTTGTGTAAGAAGTAGTTATGACATAGTTATCAGTTTAGAGAGTATACACTTGCCTATTGTCAATCTATGACAAATAATCTTTTTACAACATGGATTTTAGTAGGGCCTCTGATATTGTTCCTTAAGTTTTGTTTTAAAATCTGTGTTTTAGTGGAAATTATCAGTCAAATAAATTTTGCTTCTGAATTTGGCTCAAGTTAACTGTGGTAGCTCACATATGTGGTTGTATTCAGACAAGCAGATTGATTTAAGTGATCAATTTTGCTTCTGTTCTTTAGACTTAAGTGTTTAAATATTAGAAATGTCTTCTGAAGACTGTAGCAACAATAAGAATCAGTTTGCTCTTGACAATGCCATCCAATGTTTTTATGTAGACTCTCCAGGAACAGGAGTATAATATTGTAAATGCAAAAGTTTGATTTTAGAATCTGATAAGCATAGGCTATTCTCTTTTTTTGTTTTGTTTTGTTTTTTTCTAAAAAAGTAACAGCTCTCCCAACTTTGAATATCTAGGGGATATCTGTGTGGAAGACTGAATTTTAATATATTTTTAAGATTTTTAAATTTTTTTCATTTCATTTAAAGAATTAAGACAAAAGAGGACAGAATAAAGCATATCAGAACAGAACAATGTTAGCAACACAGTATTTCACCACAGGAAACCAGATATTAACAGTAGCTACCGTAATGTCTGTTTCTTTGAAATTAATACTTGGTTTTGATGGAACTAAATTAACAAAAATTTAAAGCTGGATCTTGTAGAATACAATTATTAGAGAAAAGATTTTGCAAAGCCTTATATAACATGGGGATAGTTCAACATTGTGCTGCAGTTTGGTAATATGCATTTCCCAGTGAATTGAATCTGCTTCACCAAAACACTTTTTGCCTCTCACAATTTGCAATTGTATAGAAATACAATTGTGTCCTTGGAGGAAAACGTTCATCTTCCTCATGCTACATTCATGAGCAGCAAAATAAGTAATCCTTACTTAACTGAGGGAGATTACAAAGGAATAATCTGTCCATATACTTTAACCGCTTATTCCTAATTGTACTCCAAAGTACCATTACTTAAAGTACTATCGAATTTTTAAGAACTACTCAGTGAATTACTGTTATTAATAAAATTGTACTCTTTGAAATACCTTTGTCTCAGCATAAATGCAGAGTTAAAATGTAAAATTACTAAAAATATAGAAAATACTAGAAATTAGTTATTACTACTTTAAAATCCTATTAATTTTTATAAAAATCAAATCCAGCACAAGTTATATGTTGTATATAACAAAAGTTTTGAATCACTTGCATAGAAAATGAAAAACAAGTTAGTTGATCAGTTGCTAATTGGTATATTTCCTTAGGGGTACTCTGAGGTACTTTTAAAGATATATCAGCAGCAATTAGTTTTGCATTAAGAACAGAGCATTTTGCAGGGTGTTTCACTACATCACAAAATGTCATAGAACCATATTTTATAATAAAATCAAATTCTCAATTCTAGCATTTTACTTATTATACAAAAACATCATTCTTTATAAGTTTATTTATTGTGTACATAATATTAAAAGTAATGAGTATTTCAGTCTCAGTGAGAGAACAAAATGCAAGATATTGATCTTCAGTGAAATTGCATTTAGATGTTTGATAGTGAAACTAGCAACCCTAAACTGTAATGTGTACGTTATTCTCAAAATTAAAATAATACATAAAGACTTTAACACAGAGGTTAACTAGTCCACAGACCAACCAGAAGGTTTAATTTACAAATGTCCAAATGTTATTGGTGTGTCTGCTGATGTTACTTCTGCTCACAATCTACTGTATGGTATATTTAAATATCTCTAAAAGTAAGATTGAGTCAGAAGCTTAAGATTATGTACTTTCCTGTTTTAAAAACTGTTGTTATAATGTTCTAAACACTGAAATCTTTTCAATGTGTTTTCTGTATTAGTTTTGTACTGTAGAAAATAATTTGCCATCAACCGTGCTGCATATTGTTTAAAGTGAAGTTATTTACTAGCTTATTGCCTCCCTGCCTCACAACACACGGTTCACTTAATGTAAAACCTGTGATAATGCTTTGCTTTAAAATAAAATCTAGTGCTAAATATTTACTGTGTTCCAATTAATGATTTATGCTAATTAATTTTCCTTTTAAAGCTAACCAGTATCAAATAAAATCTTACATAAATATCCTATGAAGTGCTGCAGTGCTGATTTTGTGTTTGTGACAATGTGTGTTTCTTGATTGAGAACATGATGGCCTGCTGAGTTCTATAAATAGACATTAGTAATCCTTTTGGAAAAGGGGCCTTGTACCTCTCAGCTGTCTGAATCCTGCTCGCTAGTCTTATAAATAGATTTTCTCATGGCATACAACAACTAAGTAAAACAATCCATCATGTCTACCCCTTGGATCTTTGCCTTGATCCTTTCTGAATCTTTATATTGTATTTTTCACAGTGCTTTCCTAAATAGAAAAAAAAAAAAAAACTGAGAGGCCTGAAGAGTAAAATCATCCAATGTCAGCAGAGAAAAGAATCTTAGTCTAATCTCTGTAGGGACAAGTTAAAACCTGTATTTTAGAGAGATTTGATCAAGGTCTGAGGGTTCAGAGAATTGATCAAGGTCTGAGGGTTAGGGCTGGGATGAGTCCAACGTGATGTCTTGAAAGTATTTCAAAATTCAGTATGTACAGAGGAGTTTGTTAGTCTTAGGGCTGGCACACCAGTAAGAAGAGGCATACCTCAGGGTAGAAAACTGCTTCCTTATTAGGTCCTGGTCTTTGACCTACTATAAAGGAACACATTCTGTAAGCAATTTTTCTCACAGGAAAAGCATGGGCTCTTAGTTCTTTCATCATTGGAAGGAATATTTCAGACTACTGCACCTGGAGGTCTATTTCTAAATGACAGCAAACTCTGGCCTTTGGAAGAACCAGGCTTTCCTTAGCCCAGAAAATAGATAGTAGGCTAAAAAGGCGTCCATACCCCAATTATGGTCCCTATTAGTTGCAGTTTCTCAAAGGCTTATGAATGGGTTCGAAAGACAGCATAAGCCGAGCGACTCTAGGACCCAGAGACTGCGCTGGGGGCCAGCTGGATTCGCCTTAACGTTCTGGGCTCCCGCGCGGCGTGGCGCTAGTCGTCTCACGACGCGGGTTCGCGGCCCGCAGGGAACAGTCGCCTTAGCGACGCAGCGGACATTGTGGCGCGCGGGCGGCGCACGGTGCGTGTGGGCGTGTCCCTGTGGGGCCCGCGCTCCCGCCCCACCTCAGCCCGGTCGGTCGCCCCCAGGCCCCAGCTCCGAAGTCCAGGCCTGTTGGCCCGGCCCGCGTGCCCTCCGCGGGCTGCGCAGAGCGCGGGAGCTGGTGGGAGCTGGGAATGCCGGGAGCCCCTCGGGTAACCGCCACCGCCAGCCGCCGCGCCCGCCGCTGTCCCCGCATCAGTCCCCGGTGAGCGCCGCTGACGCGCGGAGATGAAATTCCCGGCCTCCGTGCTGGCGTCCGTGTTCCTGTTCGTGGCCGAGACCACGGCGGCGCTTTACCTGAGCAGCACCTACCGGTCGGCCGGGGACCGCATGTGGCAGGCGCTGACACTGTTGTTTTCGCTGATGCCCTGTGCTCTGGTACAGCTCACGCTCGTCTTCGTGCACCGCGACCTCAGCCGGGATCGGCCGCTTGTGCTGCTGTTGCACCTGCTACAACTCGGGCCCCTCTTCAGGTGCGTGTGAAGCCCAGAGCCAACCCTAGGCCGCAGCCCCCGCCGCCTGCCCCACTAGTCGGAGCGCAGCGCAGCAGTGGCCTCCGGGTAGGGACCCCTGACTGGATCCAGGCCTGGTCCCAAGGCCGGCCCTCCCCCTCACCCAGCAGTGTGACACGGTCCTAGTATAATGATACTAAAGTGGGGACTCCCACGATCCTATTTAGTACCACCCTATCAAATGGGCAACATTCACCTGAGTAACCAACAAAAATGGCAGTTATTATGTGGTTCAGTCTCATAAAATACATGGCTGTCTCTGCAGATGGGTTCAGGCAGAATTGTCTTGCGTGTTCACAAAACTTGGAAAGTGTGTTCTAAGCTGTGGTTACAGCCCAAGTGTGTGCAGGTAATTTCATTTGACTTATCAGACACGTGGAGGTTACTGTGTGCCCTTTGTGCCAGGCAGTGTTCTGAACACTTTAAAAACTATTAATTTATATTATTCTCATACAGAAGTCTAGAAATCCTCACTATTCTTTTCTCTTTGGTGGTTTAATAGTTGTGCAGTGGGGAAACATAATTGGGTTGTAGAAATATCTTCCAGCCCTTCCTATCAGTCATAAACTCTGCTAAACAGTGGGACACTAAGACAAAAACTTACTATGTCTAAAGAAAAACTGACATTTCTGGAAATTTATTTTTATGAACACAAGGCAAATAGAAGTAAATGGTAATGAAACAGATGTTGGCTTTATCGAAAGACCTTGAAAGGAGTTTAATGGGTGGTTTTCATATCTTTAGAAAAGCAAAACAATGACTATATCTCTGAACTAGAAATAAATTTAAAATACTGAGTTTTAGATATAGAGGACACAGAAATTTGATGAGGCAGCTTAGAGACACACCTCAGCTGACAGAATAGGATTGTTTCCTACAAGGAAGTCCCCCCAGCACACACAGAGTCGTGCACCAAGGTATTTTTTATAAAACTTGTGTACCTCATACTAAAGCCAATCATTCTAGCTGACACTCAAGATACTGACTTGAGATAACACAGTCATGGCAAACTTGGCGAATAATTTCCTGGCCTCCAGAAGCTGCAGAATCCTAGAAGGGAATACAAACTGGCATGCTAGGAAATGACAAGTTGCTCCTCCTGATGGGGGGGAGGGGAGCAGAAAAAATTTTAAAAAGGAGAGAGAAAGACAGAGACAGACAGAGAGACTGATGCACAATGACTTTACGAAGTACTATATCCTAGTGCTATTTAATGAGGAGAGAGTCCTCTAGCCAAGAAAGTCCTATGATCCTGATGTTGGTTCCTACTCAGTAAAATAAATGTAATCTGACTAGCAAGTCAGTTACTGCTTCTTAAAAGGGGAGACATGGGAAACTAGCATTTTTCAACAGCTTCTTGTGGTACATGGTTTGATAGTCACCTTTATGTCTCAGTTCAGATTGATTTCCTGTATAAAGTAGATGTAATTGTTGCCATGTTTATTATTGCAGCACTGAGGATCAAATCCAGTGCCTTTCCAGAGCTAAGTGAGCATTCTACCCATTGACCAAGTCCCTAGCCCTACATTTTATTTAATTTTATTAATTTTTATTTCAAGTACTAGTAATCAAAGAACTCAGGACCTTTGCACTGAGAGAGCTTCTCATCCTTTTTTAAATATTTTAAATTTTGAGACAGGATCTCAGGAAGTTCCTAAGTTGCCCAGGCTGGGCCCCATCTTGCCATTCTGCTCCCTCAACATTTACTTATTTATTTATTTATTTGGGTGCTAAGGATTGAACCTAGGCCCTCACACCTACAAAACCAGTACTCTGCCACTGTGCTGCTACACTTCTAGCCCCTGTCCCCATCTTACACAAGAGAAAAATAAGGCTTCAGATAACATTTTCAAGGCTTCTTGAGAAATGGAATTGGATTATTTATGTTCTCTGATCTGTGAAAGAAAGCAGAAGTGTATATAGTGTATTTTTTTAGTTCTATCTTTAAAAAATTTATTTTGACAAAATTTAAAAAATTAAATACTACCTAAATAGCCATATAATTAAATGAGAATACTCTACCACTGTTGACATTTAAAATGTTTTTAAACATTAAGAGTAACCCAACACAAAGCTAATTACATGATATGCACAAAAGCAGGATGAAAAATATAAACCTGAGCTCAAGGAAATATACTAAGATGTTAAGAGCTGTAATTTCTGGACGGTAGGATGTGACTTCACTACTCTGAAAAACAGAAGTATATAATTTTCTCCTTTGTATATTTTTAGTTTTTACAATGAAATAATTTTATTAAAAGGAAATATTTTGTGCTTTCAAGAGATAACTTTTCAGTTACATAGGAACTTTCAACACTGTAAAAAAAGCTCTACTTCTAGAAGATTCTGAGCAGGTCAGTGTCTTAAGGGAAAAGAAAAATAAAATACTAAAAAAAGAAACAGCCTCTTTCCACTGCCAAAGAGTCTGTTGTTGTAATTCACCTGATTTATTTCGAGGAAATATTGGATACATAATCTTAGAGCTGAGGTACACAAAATGTGGTTTTTAAGTCTCTTAGCTTCCAGACAAAAAGTAAAGCAATTTCTTGTTATATGTTAGCATGACTTTATATCCTAATAACTTTGTTCTGATAGATTTCATCGGAAGGCTAAGACATCAGTTTTACCAGAGATCACAATTATTTTCCCCAAATAAAGGACTGATAGGAAGTTTTACACCTTATTATTGGATTTAGTAACGTTTGGGGATAGTGCAGCTCCATTTAACTTTGGGCAAGTAACAGCCAAATTTATATTCTTTTTATACAAATGATTGTTTTTGAATTCATATGGGAATTATGGCCCAGTTAAATTACAATATAGGGTTGGTGATGAAGTTCGATGGTGGAGTACTTGCCTAGTATGCCAAAAGCCCTGAGTTCTATTCCTGAAACAGATGAAACAGATGTTGGCTTTATCGAAAGACCTCGAAAGGAGTTTAATGGGTTGTTTTCATATATTGAGATATGAAAACAATTCCTGCTACCTCAAAAACAAACCCAAAAAACATACTGAAACATTACAATACATTACGCTATTGATTATGGACTAAATACTATTACCCTGGCTCTGTCTTTCCTTTAGGGAAGTATTTAAAGAGCACCTTATTTCATTTACATTTTATACATGTTCAGTTTTATGTTTAGGTCTGTGACTAGTTTGTATGAACTTTGACTAATGCCTTGAATTTATTTTCAATTTTAAGCAAAATCTTACTTTGAAATATAATTAATATCCTGTAAAGTCATAGGAGGAGGAATATTTCTCACCAAAACATTTAAATTGTTCTGTTTATCATTCTTATATAATGTAAATTTGCATAAATTAATTGAGAAAAGGGGTAAATAAATTTGAGGACAGGTCCAGGAATTACCCTTATTTTTAATGCTGGTATAAGAAAGAGGAAATGGTGCATGAAAAATCTGAGTTTTTAAAATACAAGCAAAAGTTCCAAAAATCTTTATACAAAATTGCAAAATTATTTATGACAATGTTTCTCTACAGTAAACTTTCAAGGCAATTTAAAATAAAATAGTGTAGACAGCATTTATTGACTTTACTTTCCACGTGCTTTTGCATAGTGTTTAATGCCATCCACTGTTAAAAGTCTGTGAGCTGTTATTATCTTATTTTTACAGTCCAGGAATTGAGGCTTAGAGAGATTAAGCAAGTGGATCTTCAAAGGTCTCAAAGTGTTTTCTTTTTAACCAGTTTTGTTTTTGTGTAGCCTCCTAGAGCATGTATGCCATATGAAGATAACATAGTTTATGGGAAATCATAGTATTTCTTTGGAAAAAATACTTTTATTAGGGTCCCTGATACCAATATTTGTGTCTACACCAATATGCATGGCTTCAATTAAGAAACAAATTAAATTGTGCTCGAAAATGGGAGAATGATACTTGGAAATAAGATAAAGTGAAAAAACATGGATCAAACTACCGAATGTTTACATCAGAGCTCAGAGAACTGTTATCCACACACTAACTCCACTGCTTGTTTTTAATAAAGTTTTATTGAAACACAGCAAAGGCCATTCATTTATAGATTGGAACTGCTTTAGCATTATAGAGGCAGTGTTGAGAAATTATAACATAGAACATGGCCTGTAAAACTTGAACTATTTACTTTCTATAAATACAAAAATTTTCTTCACACCTTGGTCTGCATGATTCCTTAGTTTTTTTTTTTTTTTTTTTTTTTTTTGTTGTTGTTGTTGTTGTTGTTGTTGTTGTTCCTTTTTACCTGGTCTGAGCTCCGCTCATCTGTGTTTCCTCTCCTCTTCTTTTCTCTTCTATCTCTTCCCCTCCCCTTTTCTTTTTGGTGCTGGAGATGGAACCTAGGCTTTTGTACATGTTATGCACTCTACCACTAAGCTACATCCCCAGCCCACACCTTGAAAGATTTGGATAAAAGTATCTTATTTGTTGCTTTGTTTACACAACCTTGCAAACAAAACTACAAGAAAACAGAGTGCAAAGACCAGATTTGAAGTAATTAGATACGTTCTACATAATTACATGTATACAGTAGTAATTTGCTAGTTTTTTTTTTTTTTTTTTTTACCAGTGGTAGTAGGAGGTTCACAGATTTATTTATTAAAACCCTACTACATATCAAACTGTTAAGGCAAGTGTCGTATCTAGGAAAACCAATAGAATATAAGAAAATTCACCTGAGTTTTAAAGCCATTTATGACATTAGTTTCATTCTGGGGTCTTTTTTTATTTCCATTCATTTATCAGTGAAGTTTTATTTTGTTTACAATTCTATGAGTGCTTCCAGTCTCACACAGTTCTCTTAGTATCAAGACAATTGCATTTTTCCCAAACTCTTGTTTCATTAATTCATTTCTTAGCATGAACTAGTGTTCCATTTGTTTGCTTGTTTAGATCTTTGAAAACTCATACCTTGATTTTAGCATGCCAGTAAAGCATGTTTTTTGTAGAAATGACAGAAAAGAGGAAAACAGAAATGCTCCATGAAGAAAATAAAATATCTAATTTAACTGCCTAAAGAGAATAATCATTAATGTTTTTCTTGTATATCCTTACTAATATTTTTTGTGGTGATAAGTTTGTAGACTTAAGGAAGATGTTTACTCATTTATATAATGTATTTATCCCTGAGTCTGGTCAAGCTTGACAACTGGATTTCAAATTTCCTATCGTATAGTTGGCTGTTCTTAGCCCGTATGAACCAGCTCATTCTATTTTAGTACGTGTGTGTGTGTGTGTGTGTGTGTGTGTGTGTGTGTGTGTGTGATTATTTTCACAAAGATATGGTATTCATCACATATTTGAGAATAAAGACAAGTATCAGTTTATTATTTAGCCCTTCTTATTCCCAATGGTCCAGCAGTGTAAAAGTAGGCCTCATTCAGTCCTCAGTCACAAACTTGAGTTTTGGACAAACTGTACTTAAACTTCTCAACTGAACTTGATTAGTTTTATTTTCAGCTGAATGAACTTGTCTATGCTGTTTTACATGTTTTCATGTAATACTGTATATTGCAGTGTTGTTAAGTCAACCGACCAAAATCTAGTAGATATCCCGCCCTCACACACACACACACACACACACACACACACACACTGCAGGCACACTGATGCATGATCTTTCTCCCAGGAGCAAATGAACATATAATCACAATTATGTTCAATTTGTACTTACAAAAAATGTTTTCTTGTTTTCTTTATTGTATCAGTAGCTTTATTTTATTTTTTAAGATACAAATGTAATTTCATTGTTAAAGGTGCCTCAGTGTGAGAGTATAAAATTAATAGAATTCAGTAAAATATCGTGTATGAAACCATAAAGCTTTTTAGCAGCATTATAAGATTATGAAAGTTTGTTTCAAAGGAAAAAAAAACCTTCAACAATTTTTAAATTGCAGTTGTGTTTGTCCTAAAGAAAACTTGATTATGCCCAGCCTTTTATTATGAAAAGTTTTAGACATATAAAAGAAAACTTGAGAGAATTCTGCAGTGAACAACCATGTACCCTACATCTGTATTGCACAACTGACATTTTATGTTACATGTCTGTCCATCTATCAGTCTGTGTGTGTGTGTGCATGTAGGTACTTCAGGTAAATCACAGGTATCAGTACCTTTTCCTCCCCATTTTAACATGTACATCATTACTTAGAGAGGAAACCACAATTTATGATCCAAGTATTCTCTTCCTTAGATCAGGTTTAGAAATCCATTAAGTAATACATATCTGGCAGGTCCCTGAGCAAGACTGACTTTAGCTCTGCCATGTAATAGCATGTGAGGACAAAGAAATAGGTACTATGTTATGCTCTTTCAGTGAAATGCCAGATGACAAGCTGCTCTGTACTGGGCAATCTCCTGATCAACCATAATTCCTGCCTTAACCAGGGTGTGTGTGTGCGTGTATGTGTGTGCATGTGCGTGTGTGTGTGTGTATGGAGGGGCGTATTTCCATCTTTCAGAGAAATATGACCAAGTAGGTATGTTCTCTGCTTCATAATTGAGAAAAGGGCTCAGAGAGTAAGTGACTTGTCCAGGGCTACACAGCTAATATGTGTCAGGATTGGCAAATTGAACATTTTTCTGTGACACTTGATCCTGAACTACTTCTCATTCTCTAGTAGGTTTCCTTGCCTCCCCAGTGGTCTTTAGTGTCACTTCAGTGTGATTCTCATCAGCATGTTGGAAGGTATGAAGAAGAGCAAGAATGTACAACTCATCCTTGGGGTGAATGCTATAAAATGGTGACTCCAGTCCAAAACAGCCAAGTCAAGGCTTTGAGAATCAAGCTAAGTAGAAGTAAGGGGACTGAGAAAAGAGAGAATCCTACCTACCTCTAATAATTATGTTTTGCTGATATTTTCAGGTGTTTTGAAGTCTTCTGCATCTACTGTCAGTCAAACCACAATGAAGAGCCTTATGTCAGCATCACTAAAAAGCGTCAGATACCAAAAAATGGCCGCTCAGAGGAAATTGAGAGGGAGGTGGGCCAGGCAGAAGGCAAGCTATTCACCCACCGATCTGCATTCAGCCGGGCATCGGTGATTCAGGCTTTCCTGGGCTCAGCCCCCCAACTGACCCTGCAGCTGTATATAAGTGTCTTGCAACAGCAGGTCACTTTTGGAAGAGGTATGTATATTTTTATTTTTGTTTGCATTTAAATCTTAAAATTTGAAGCAAATCATGTATATTTATGTTGTTTCAAGTAAAGTTTATCCATATATGCAAGGTCTGCTTTCCAATTACTTATCTTACATTTTACTGAGTTAAAATTGTAACATTCATGTCTCTAATGCATCTGCATTTTGTGCAGGGCCAAGAAGGAAAGCTCACCTGTATTCCACTGTGGATCAGATGAGGTGGCTAAAGATAGAGAGCTAGTCTACATCAAGGCCCAGTGACTCAAATGTTTTATTATTCTGATGTCTTGATGCTGGATGTTTTGGGGAAATCTAAGTTCTTCTCCATTTGCTCTCTATGTGTAGTAGTTTGAATATCCTTGCACCATTGTGATTGCTTCCAAGGGTGAAGGTCTTCAGAGCAAGAGTGCCAGATGAAAGGCATATGGCCTTTTGTGATCCACCCTTGAGAGTCATGGATCATTACTTCTTCCTTCTCTTTATTGATATAGTCACAAAGTCATGCTCTGGTTCAAGGAAACCAGAGAGAGGTAAATGATAACTCTTGTCGGGGTGTGTAGAACGCTGGAAATTTATGTAGACCCAAAAATTCCTCTATGGACGTTTTTAGGACAGTTTGCAGCTGAAACTACAGATGCTAAAGGTTGGTAGACTTGTGATTTCACCTCTGTCTTTCAGTGATAGCTCTAAACTAGCTGAGACAGTTGATCATAAGAGATTTGTGGTGAATTATGGAATCAAGACCACTATTCTGTTCAAAGTTCTAATAGATATATTAGAACCTTTCACTTCTAAGTGAACATAACTTTCTACTTTTTGAGCTCACATTGTCAAATTGAGAGTAGAGTTTGGTTAATTCATTTTTCCCTAAAAGTTTCCTTTTGCATTGGACATAAATGAAAAAGATTTCCAACTATGAAAGGGAAATAACTACTTCCAAAATTGATAGTATGTATAACTGAAAACCAAGCATTCTTGTAAGTTTTACTTTGAACACACAAAATAATTTAAAAACCTGAAGTTTATAAATGCATATTTAAGAAAACATTGAAGACAGAATTTTAAAAATACTCTTTATTTACTTCATGGCATGATTTTTATTTTACTCTGTAGTTTAAACTGGATGGTAATATGTCTTAAGTCATGGTAGGATCACATGATACTCATATATCTGAATGGTCTCCCTTATCTATATTACCTTTAAATCTTAAAAAAAAGTTAGTTAGGGTTTTAAGTAGAGTTCTTGAACTTTGACAGAGTAAGGGGGGGTGTTTGTTTTTTGACACAGAATCTTGCTATGCAGTTCAGGCTGGTCTCCATCTCATTTTGTAGTCCAGGCTGGTCTTATTTCAACAATCGTCCTGCCTCAGCTTCCCAAGTGCTGGGATTATAGGTAGATTAATATGTATAAGAAAGTACCTCCCACAATCTCTAGTAGATAGTACGTAATAAATACTGTAACACCTTTATTCTCTAAGAATTTATAACAGAAATGGGTACTAGTCAAGATAAATCTATTCTATTTATTGTTTTTCCAAGTGGCAGAGACACAGTGATAAAGTCGGGGAACTGATTGCCTATTTGAATTTTATAACTAGACCCATTTTTCTCAAATTTTTGATAGTGAAGAATGCCATTTTTCTCAAATTTTTGATAGTGAAGAATGCCTCCTAGGCCTGTAAATAAAATTTTGTAGTAACACAGCTATGCTTTTTCATTTATATATTGCCTATGATTGTTGAGGGCCACAACGGCAGAATTGCACGAGACAGCGTAAGGGTCACAAAGTCTAAAACATTTTCTAACTCCTTACACAGAAAGTTTGCCAACCCTTGTTATAGTTCTCAGACAGAATTCCATTCAGGAATATAAAAGCTATCTTGGAAAATGTCAGTATCAAAAGGAATAGCTGTAAGATATCCCCAGGGACTTAGAAAAATAAGTCTTGTGAGTCAAATGATACATAGACACAAAAAGCAAGTGGGGATGACTGTATTAGATGGCAGACGTTTATGCAGGTTTTGCCCATACCCTTAATATATCTGAGGAAGAAATCACTCACTGGTATGGAAAAAACCCTGGAAGGGGAGGATGGACCGTGGTAGTGGTGGTGAACCTATACCACATATACCACAGGCAGCCTGTTTGTATCATTGAATGCTCACCATCACTGGGTTAGGGTGTGTCTCAGAGGCAAATGTTGGATTGGTTTTGTCATATATTAGGCATGTATTTAATGCATGAGACAAAACCCTGATGACGGGATTAAATAACCTAAGGTTTATTTCATTCATTTATCAAGAAACCAGAAGTAAACAGTTGATGGCACTATTTCAACAATGGCAACTTGATATACCTGAAAATCTGCTGGTCTTCTTCCTGGTTTGCCACTTCAGTCTCAACAATCATAAATGCATTCAAGGTGGGAATAAAGACTGAAGATATAAGGGAAGATGTCTCTCTTTTTATCACTAAGTATAACTTTCCTAGAAATCTCCCTGATACACTTTACTTTTGAGTCTCACTGACAAATCATACAATGACCTAGCTTCAGGGGATTCTTGTAAAGCCAGGAATAGCAGTAATGGTTAACATTGGCTTAGACCACTATCATCAAGCTTCCCTGATGATTATTAGAGTTTCTTGGGGTCTTGTGTAATATATACTGGGACTCTTCAATTCTGTATACTCTAAATCTGTGCTTATTGAAAAAAGCATGGATAAATTTGGCATTGGTAGAGCTTGGCATGCAGGAAGAGAAGAGGGAAACAGTTGCACAATCAATGAAGTGATTCTTTTAAAAATTGTTATGCAATCTATATAACATATATTTCACCATTTAAAATATACAGTTCAATAGCTTTTAGTGTATTCATATTTGTGCCATCATCACCACTAATTTTAGTACATTTTTGTTACATCAAAAAGAAATGTGCTACCTATTAGTAGTCATTCCCTATTCCCTCGTTTTTCCTGCCCCTAGGCCGTGGCAACTACTTCTCTATTTTCTGTTTCTGTGGATTTGTATACTGTGCATATTTCATATGAGTGGTTCATACATTATTAGTTATTTTGAAGTCAACAAATAATTGACATTATGTCTATGAGCTTTAATATTGGGTGAGTTTGATTATATTGAGTCTCACTAAGTTACTATGATCTCAGTAGAGACTTGGTCAAGTCACTGGACCTTGGAGGATAGGATGGTATGAAGCCCAGATGGGATGTCTCTGCAGCCTATCATTTGGCCTGCATGGACCTTATGGTGCCCTTCTTGCTTTCATTCTAGTGGTAATGGTGGTACTAATAATGATTATTCCATGAACACTTGCTTTGTGCTAGCCACTGTGATAGACATCATAGAATTTCATTTCCATGGTGTCCCTGGTAATATTCCCTTTATCTCACTAAAGAGGGAAATTGTAATCACAGTCTACCAGAGGAACCAAGATTTGAGGTTATATTTGTGTGATTCCGTTCATTGATGCAATAAATACTATGTTCTGTGTTTCATATTTCATGCCGATATCTGAGGAGGAAGTGATATAAGGTGGACAGGACCCTGTCATTGTAGAATGTACTGACATGAAACAGATAATAAATCATATATTGATTTTATTTAAAATAAATCCTGCAAAGTGAAAGTTAAGTAGCTAGTATGAGGGGATATTGAGGAAATCTGAGAGATGAAGCGAAGACCTATAGAACATAGGTTTATATTGAAAATTAGTGTGTGATGTAGAGAAAGCAGGTGAAGGAAAAGCATCCTAGCATTTCAAACTTTACCACTGAGGCAATGGGAAGTCATTGATGAGTTTTAAGTAACATGCTGTCATGATAAGATTTAATTTTAGAAACTAATGACTGGGACATAATTGGGTATTAGTGAAGGGAAAGACAGGGAGCTCAGTTGCCAAAGTAGCAGTCAGAATGACTTACTAAAATAGAATGGATTGTCATAGCAGTACTAGGGGTGTGGAAGCACAATCACTTCAGTGATTAATTGCATATGAAGATGAAGCAGAGGAAATGTCAAGAGTGGTTCCCAAGTTTTAGACATGAATAGTTGCAGCCATGGATTCCCATTAGTATTGGTGGAGGATACCAAGGGGAAAAAGCAGGTTTGTGTTGTATATTGGTTTAGAAATTCAGACTTTAAAAATAAAGATTCTATGTAGTTCATGAGAAAAAAAAGATCAGATGTTGAAACTGGATTAAAAGACACTATAAAGGAGAGACATATGAATATTAATAAGGCATATTGAAATGAATATGTAAATGGAGATAAAACTGGTTTTACTATGACCTGAAAGGGTAGAACATTGAACTACTATTTTTTAACATTGAATATCTCTATCTGTGATGTACAGCTTACAAAGGGATTTCACAAGTCTCATGGGCAATACAAAGCTAGAATCAGAGAACCTGGAGTGGTGGTGAGAACATGTGACAGTGTTTCCATGGAAAATAATATTTGCTAGAATATTGAACTCAAATAGAAAATTATAGTTCCCTCAAAAATGGTCTGTCATTTGAGTAATTAGTTTCTTTTTTTTTTGCTACCGAGGTTCTAACCCATGACCACATGCTTGCAAGGCAGGCTGTTCTGCCTGCCGAGCTAAATCCCCAGCCTTGAGTAATTAATTTCTTGTCACAAACATTTCTAAGCCAGGCCCTATCAGAAGTCAGAAGATTAAGTCTAGTGTTTGGATCACTGCTAGGTGTTGAGGCTCTTGACTGTGACAGTCACCCAGTGAGGCACCTTGGGGAGAGGCAGGAGAGTGCTATGCAGAGAAGGGAAACAGGAGGAGATGGACACCAGCCAAGTCACACTCCTGCTTCCTCTGTCTTTCTTATAGCTGGTGATTCACCCTCTATTATACGCAGGGTATACAAAAGAAAAGATTAAATATAGGACATAATTTAAAGGATTATTTTATAATACTCATCCAGACAGTCAAATGGGAAAGAGTGTGGGAGTTCTGTTCC